ATTTTCTTACTTTCTCTAATAAATCTGTTTTTCTTGACCTGAACTGCCACGGTAAAGTCTTCTCTGCCACCAGCCACAGACAGTCACCACAGGCCATGACAAGTCTGCGATTTCATGGTCTTTTTTCATTTTGATGATATTTCCCCAGTGTTTGGGAGACAGAAGAATGCCAACAATCTATAGGTCTTAGTAAAGTGGATGGGGACAACATATCTGAGAGAGAAAAGTAACAAAATCTACTGGAGCTCCTTAAAATTCTTGAGGAATTCCTTTCTCATCTTGGAGTAGGGAAGACTGACTGTGCCTCAAAATTTAGAAGCTAATAAAGAAAATACCTTTACATCTGAAAACATGGAACAAAAACTTGTGGCTGTTTTTTTTGGGAGTGGGGTTGGTTTTTTTTAAACAGCACAAGCCACTCAAAGGGCAAGTGACAAACTGGGGAGAGAAGAAAAAGATGTGACTCGGCCGGGCGCAGTGGCTCACGCCTGTAATCCCAGGACTTTGGGAGCCCAAGGCGGGTGGATCACGAGGTCAAGAGATCAAGACCATCCTGGTCAACATGGTGAAACCCCAACTCTACTAAAAATACAAAAAATTTGCTGGGCATGGTGGCGCGTGCCTGTAATCCCAGGTACTCAGGAGGCTGAGGCAAGAGAATTGCCTGAACCCAGGAGGTGGAGGTTGAGGTGAGCCGAGATCGTGCCATTGCACTCCAGCCTGGGTAACGAGCGAAACTCCGTCTCAAAAGAAAGAAAAAGATGTGACTCATATCACAGTTTCCCTTCTACTTAAAATAAGCTCCTGCAAACTAGTAAGAAAATAGCAACAGCTCAGTGGAAAAAATTGCCAAAGGCACAATTAACAGAAAGGAAATACAAATCGCTCTTAAACCTATGAAAAGATGAAGCTGTTCAGTCACACTTCGAGTAAGAGAAACACAAATTAATATTAATATGAAAGACAAGTTTTCATTAATGAATTTGAGAAAAATCCAAGAGCTTGATGATATAGATAGTAGGGAAACCAGAATTCCCGCACATTACGGGTGGTGATGTAAAGTGGGACAGCCCCAAGGGTGGCTGGCATGACAGTTTCTGTTCAGATTACAGATGCATAGTCCCATTGCCAGGTCTCTAATGTCTGCTTCTTCAGACACATTCCCCCTCCCCCTCTACTTGGTTCGGGATCCTGACTGGTAAGGATACAACTCCAGGCCCCTTGCCCTATGGCTTCTGGTTGTGTTCAGCCGATGGGGAGCCCCACATGAGAGAAGGGAGGGACACAGAGAGGGATATTTATCCCTCAGCCTGCTGCCTGCACTGTCCTCTTGGTCTGGCTGTATCCAGTGGTCTCATGTCATAGCTGCTCATGTGGGGGTTTCTTTTTACAAATTGCAGTGTTGGCTCCTTCTCTTTTCCTTCAGGGCCAGAGTGGCCACAGCCCTCAATGTTGTGAGCTACAGGTTCTGTACTCTCCCTTCTACAGGCCCAGAGTGGCCACAGCCCTCAATGTTGTGAGATGCAGGTTCTGTACTCTCCCTTCTACAGGGCCAGAGTGGCCACAGCCCTCAATGTTGTGAGATGCAGGTTCTGTACTCTCCCTTCTACAGGCCCAGAGTGGCCACAGCCCTCAATGTTGTGAGATGCAGGTTCTGTACTCTCCCTTCTACAGGCCCAGAGTGGCCACAGCCCTCAATGTTGTGAGCTACAGGTTCTGTACTCTCCCTTCTACAGGCCCAGAGTGGCCACAGCCCTCAATGTTGTGAGATGCAGGTTCTGTACTCTCCCTTCTACAGGCCCAGAGTGGCCACAGCCCTCAATGTTGTGAGATGCAGGTTCTATACTCTCCCTTCTACAGGCCCAGAGTGGCCACAGCCCTCAATGTTGTGAGCTACAGGTTCTGTACTCTCCCTTCTACAGGCCCAGAGTGGCCACAGCCCTCAATGTTGTGAGATGCAGGTTCTGTACTCTCCCTTCTACAGGCCCAGAGTGGCCACAGCCCTCAATGTTGTGAGATGCAGGTTCTGTACTCTCCCTTCTACAGGCCCAGAGTGGCCACAGCCCTCAATGTTGTGAGATGCAGGTTCTGTACTCTCCCTTCTACAGGCCCAGAGTGGTCACAGCCCTCAATGTTGTGAGATGCAGGTTCTGTACTCTCCCTTCTACAGGCCCAGAGTGGCCACAGCCCTCAATGTTTGTGAGATGCAGGTTCTGTACTCTCCCTTCTACAGGCCCAGAGTGGCCACAGCCCTCAATGTTGTGAGATGCAGGTTCTGTACTCTCCCTTCTACAGGCCCAGAGTGGCCACAGCCCTCAATGTTGTGAGCTACAGGTTCTGTACTCTCCCTTCTACAGGCCCAGAGTGGCCACAGCCCTCAATGTTGTGAGATGCAGGTTCTGTACTCTCCCTTCTACAGGCCCAGAGTGGCCACAGCCCTCAATGTTGTGAGATGCAGGTTCTGTACTCTCCCTTCTACAGGCCCAGAGTGGCCACAGCCCTCAATGTTGTGAGCTACAGGTTCTGTACTCTCCCTTCTACAGGCCCAGAGTGGCCACAGCCCTCAATGTTGTGAGATGCAGGTTCTGTACTCTCCCTTCTACAGGCCCAGAGTGGTCACAGCCCTCAATGTTGTGAGATGCAGGTTCTGTACTCTCCCTCCTGGGACCCCAGAGTGGTCACAGCCCTCAATGTTGTGAGATGCAGGTTCTGTACTCTCCCTCCTGGGAACCCAGAGTGGTCACAGCCCTCAATGTTGTGAGATGCAGGTTCTATACTCTCCCTTCTGGTTTGCCTGCAGCCTGCTCACACCTTTGTAAATACAGTCCTGCACCCCTTAATGGTGTCTTGGGCAAAGATGGACCAATTATATGATGGTGGCCTGAAATTTTTAACCATTTTCACTTTTAATGTATCAGTAATCAGGTATGTGGTTCCAAGTAAAGGATGAGTCACCAGGAGGCAAGGAAGGAAGCCATCTCCTGTGTAATAAGATTACACCATATTTCTACTGTACCTTTTCTGTCTAGACATGTTCAGATACACAAATGCCACTGTGTTGCCGTATTCAGCACAGATTTGTAGCCTAGATGTGTGGTTGGCTATACTATCTAGGTTCATCTAAGTATACTCTATGATGTTTGCACAACAATGAAATAGCCTAACAGTGAATTTCTCAGAAAATAGCACTGTTCACAGTTGCAAAGATGTGGAATCAACCTAAGTGTCCGTCAACAAATGATTGGATAAAGAAAATGTGGCTAGGTGCGGCGCTCACATCTGTAATCCCAGCACTTTGGGAGGGAGGAGTTTGAGATCAGCCTGGGCAACATAATGAGACCCTGTCTCTACCTAAAAAAAAAAAAAAAAAAAAATTTTTTTTAATTAGCCAGGGTATGGTGACACATGCGTAGTCCCAGTCCCAGCTACTAGGGAGACAGGTGAGAGGATTGCTTGAGCCTGGGAGGTTGAGGCTGCAGTGAGCCATGATTGCATCACTGCACTCTAGGCTAGGCAACACAGCGAGACCCTATCTCAAAAAAAAAAAATACAGGTTACAATATATGTATACACAATATATTCAGCCATGAAAAAGAATGAAATCATGTTTTTTACAGCAACATGGAAGGAACAGGAGGCCATTATCTTAAGAGAAACAACTCAGAAACAAAATCAACACAGCCTGTTCTTCTAAGTAGGAACTATTAATAAATAATGTACTCATATTGACATATAGTAATAATACGCATTAGTGACGGAGAAGGGTAGAGGGGGCGTAGGGAGTTAGGGGATGAGAAATTTTTTTAAAAAGCATTTCTGATTGGTTGCCTTTTTTTTTTGTTTTTTGTTTTTTTTTTGGTTTTTTTTTTTTTTGAGACAGAGTCTCTCTGTGTCACCAGGTACCAGGCTGGAGTGCAGTGGTGCGATCTCGGCTCACTGTAACCTCCACCTCCCAGATTCAAGCAATTCTCCTGCCTCAGCCTCCCATGTAGCTGGGACTACAGGCACGCGCCATCACACCCAGCTAATTTTTGTATTTTTTAGTAGAGGCAGGGTTTCACCATGTTGGCCAGGATGGTCTCACTCTCTTGACTTCATGATCCACCTGCCTCAGCCTCTTAAAGTGCTGGGATTACAGACGTGAGCCACTGTGCCCAGCCACGGGATGAAAAAATTACTCAATGGGTATAATGTACACTATTCAGGTGATGGATACACTAGAAGCCCAAACTTCACCACTATGCAATATATCTATCTAACAAAACTGCACATGTACCCCTTAAATTTGTTTAAAAAAAAAACTATCCTAATTTGAATGTGCTATTTCCTGCCCGAACCCTAACTGATATGTCCTTTGTCTAGCAATTCTACTTCTGGAAATGTTCCCATACTTAAACCAGCACATGTGCAAAATGAGGCATATCCAAGAGATTTCCTTACAGAAGAGACTGGAAATAGTTCAAATGTCTATCATAGGGGACTAATGATATAAATGATGGTGTGTGTATCAAGCAGAACATTATGCAGCCCATTTAAAAACAAAGAGAAAGATCTCCCAAATATATGTTTAAGTGAAAAAAGGGTGGACCAAGGACTCTACGTGCTATCTCTTGTCTAAGAGATGGGAAAATTAGGAATGTGTTTGTTTTTGCTTATGCCTGAAGACACTGAAGGATTCACACAAAAAAAGTAGTTTTATAAAGGAAGCAATACTTTTCACTACTTTTTAAAATTTTTGTATGCTTAAAATTTTTTAACCCAATGACTGTTGCTTGTTCAAAAGTTAAATTTAAAATTCCTTCCTGACTAATTAGGAGATTGGGCCCAGAAGCTGAGATCAGACTGGCTTGAATAAATGGGGAAATGACCCAGTTCCTGGAGCCAGGAATTTTGCCATTCCTTACAGGTCTTCTCTTGTCTTGTCTTTGCTCCGATTTTTATATTTGCAATTTAATTAGATACTCCAGAATTTTGATCACCTAATGTTGATTTCTTTTCAGATGTAAAAGTCAAAAGAAGAGTCTAAAATTAGCAAAGATGCTTTTGAGCTGGAATGCCTCTGCCATCAGATCACTTATTTTGTTTCTCATGGGTAAGTGCTGCTTTTTATCTTAGCTCTTTTTTTGAGACAGAGTCTTGCTCACTCTGTCACCCAAGCTGGAGTACAGTGGCGTGATCTCAGCTCACTGCAACCTCTGCCACCCAGGTTCAAGTGATTCTCCTGTCTCAGCTTCCCAAGTAGCTGGGATTACAGGTGCCCGCCACTGCGCCTGGCTATTTTGTGTGTGTGTGTGTGTGTGTGTGTGTGTGTGTGTGTGTGTGTGTTTTTACTAGAGATGGGGTTTCACCATCTTGGCCAGGCTGGTCTTGAACTCCTGACCTCATGATCCACCCACCTCAGCCTCCCAAAGTGCTGGGATTACAGGCATAAGCCACTACGCCCAGCCCTATCTTAGCTCTTATAGAAGCAAGCTGTGATGCTATCCTCACTGAGAGCCCTGGCAGGGAGTAGCAAACCCATTTCCCTGAGTAGAGGACCCAGTACCAGCCTGTTCAATGTCAAGAGTTAAGTGGAAAGCAGGTAGAAAACTTACACCAGTGCTTTAGAGTCGATGTAGATTTCTGTTCTGTTGTTGATTTTAGGAAAGCAAAAGAGTGTCTTAAGGCTCAGTAATGATTGGGACTGTCCTCACCTGTAATTTGAAGTGTGATTTCTCCTGACACCCTTTTTTCCTCCCCGATCTTTGATAAATGCCTTTTTACCCATAAAGCTGATTAATCAGCAACATGCTTCTTCATATTCTGAGAATGTGTCTGGGATGGACAATAGCCTCTCAGGATACTCCCTCAGCCAGCCCAAGCACTTAAACAAGGAAATCTTTTTTGCTGTTAAAGATCTCCCGTGTGTGTGTGTGTGTGTGTGTGTGTGTTTGCTGTAAAGATCTCTGCGTGTGTGTGTGTGTGTGTGCTTGCGCGCGTTTGCTGTAAAGATCTGTGTGTGTGTGTCTGTGTGTGTGTGTGTGAGAGAGAGAGAGAGAGATAGTGCTAAGATTACAGGCGTGAGCCTCGACACCCCGCCCCAAATATATTTTTAAGCGGAAAAAATGTAGCAGAACAGGGACCGTACATATCATTGCTAGTGTCAGCTCCCAAATGAGTCTTAGGTTAGATCTACTCAGGTCACAGCCCTTGAACCATGTGAAGCTGGCACTGGTGTAGAGTGAAAACCATCTATATGAGCATTCTTCTTTAGTACATGGAAAGTCTCAATCTGATAGTAGTCAATGTGTGTTAAAGAACTCCAGACTTAGTTATCATTGCAAGTTGAGCCCAGATAAAACTGTTGCTTCTCTAATGTGTTTTCTTCTTCCTAGTGTGTATCAGCCTCGCCTTTGGTATTTCACGTGATTTGCCTGGTAAGAGATGTTTTTTGGCTTCACAAATTTTGTGTAAGAGTGAAAGTATTGGGGCATTCAGAGGTATAAAATGTGGGAGATTCAATTCCTGATTGGACATCAATTGCCTATTTTATTGGGATTCTTCCTCTGTAAAAGGGGCTAACATGAACTAACTCTGGTTTTCCCAGAGACATAAAACTGCTTTAAGAAATTAACGCTAGAGATCATTTTAAGACTTCTAAGAATATTCAAACTCTTAATAATCTCACTAATAGAAGAATGAGGAGACACAGACTGTGCCAGACAAAAAAATGGCCCAGAAATATTTGCTCTTTAATTTATATTCTTCCTGCTTGTTCCAGATAAAGAAAGATAATTTTTTTTAACTAAACTTCTTGCTACATAAGTAAATCTGTCCACAAAACTTCACTAACCGTTAAATATGCCTTGTGCTAAGCATTGGTCGAGGGTGAAGCATTGGCAATCGAGAAACAAAGGCCTGGGCCCTAACCACAGGAAACTTAGATGATCTTTAAAAATTTAACCATCTAAGGCAGAGTATGGCAAATGTGGCTTTAATGTCTCGTTTATCACTGCTACTTCTCAACTGCATGACATTGTATCATTCACCCCAGTTTCATGGTCTGTAAAATGAGTCTCTTGCCTACTTCAGCATTGTTACGGGGCTTAAATGCCTAGAAAGGGCCAGTCTGGGCACACGTTATATTCCCCTGCTCTCTGTGATCTGGGCTGGGGAATGCAGAGGAAGGAAAATTTGCAATGGGCTGAGTGGCTTAAGGAGGATTTCATGGAGGAGCTGGGAGCTGAGCTGAGAGAATGGCTTAAGAAAAATGGGTAGGGGAGAGAGAAAGGAAGTGTATCATGTGGGCTGGGGTGGCTTGGGTTAATTTGGTCCAGTGAACCATTTAAGGACAGTCGTGAAGAAGCCCTTCTGTCTAGATTCAGTTTACACAGTGCAGAGTTCCTGTTTCCTATGCTTGCTTGCCTGCCCTGACAACATGTTGCTCATTAATTAACTTGCTGGTTTATTTCCCATGTCCAGTAGACTTCCTGTTTTCAAGACCCCAAGGCTCTCTGGAGGGGTTATCTGCCAGAGGTGTGGATTCTAGATCCCAAGAAATGACTGAACAGTGGCCAGTATACAACCTTGGATTCCAAATTTCAATGCCTTTTTTCCTCTTCTCTTTAGATTATGCAAATGATTCTTGCACCATAAAGATATCATTGCGAAATTTCCGGTCCATCGTATCATGGGAGTTAAAAAACCACTCCGTCGTACCAACTCACTATACATTAACGTACACAATTATGAGGTTGGTGTGGTATTTCATTTTCTCTTGGTAAACATTTTATTGTTCTGTTATATGGGGAGTGGGAGAAGAGGTGATCTTTTTTTTTTCCTCTCCCTCTCTCTCTCCCTTCCTTTTCCTATCTCCCTCCCCTTCTCTCTGTGTTTCTTATTCAGAGCCTTAAAAGGCCAAAAACAAAACACCATCATACACCCATTTTTAATTAAATTGAATAATAATCCAAATCTATTTTGATGAAGCTTATATATATCATCAAAGCCAATTTCTACAGGTCAGAACCTCACATACAAAATAATTCTTATGTATGGGTTTGGCAATGATTTCTCTAATTCAGTCAGTCTGGATGTTTAAAAGTCCTATATTATCTGGGGACAGGAGTCCAAAGGTCTGTTGACTGTATTGATGGTTTATGTTCACTTTTCGTTACTGTGGTGGGACACCAGACAGCTGCCTGGCCTAGTCTGAGACAGGCCTGGGTCCAAAGTCTGGTTTGGTCACTAACCAGCTTGACACTTGGCACAGAGCTCAGCCGCTAAGCTAATGCTCTGCAGAGGGGTTGCTGTAAGGATTCATGACACGATGGATGGAGTCCTTCTTGTCTTTCTTCTTCCCACACCAGTCACTCTTATAAGTCATTGTTTTGACCCAGCAGTCCCTTGGAATGTCCTTTTGTTGATGATTTATTTGGCCTAGAGCTGCTGCTGGTACTGTTTACTGACTGAGCCAGTGGATGATATCTTGTGAGTTTCTCTTGGGTGCCTGCTAAAGTCTTAAAGGTTTTCTCTGCATTGAGTGGTCATTTGCATCATCCAGCTAACTTTCTGAAGCTTGGAAGATGAGATGTCTGTGTTGTCCCTGAAATAGCCCAGGTCTGAATTAGGACTGGATCATCTAGTCTTAGCCAGAGAGGGAGGGGTTCTCAGGAAAGGCATTCATGATTGTCCCATAGAGGGAGGGAGATCTGAAGCCTCTGCCATGAGTGCTCAAGTTTCATTCATTCATTGATTTATTCATCCAGCAAATTTTACTGAGTACCTACTACATGCCAGGAGGTCTAATTGTGAACCAAAGTCCCTGCCCTCTTGGAGCAGACATTATGTAAATGGAGACATCACTAAGCAAAAGCATAGTGTGACAGGTGTGGGTAAACACTACGAAGAACGATCAAGAAGAGAGAGAGGGATTGAAAGTGCAGGGGTGGGGAGGACGTAAGACGCTCCGTTTTCAATAAGATGGTTGGGGAAGACCACTTGATACAGTGATATTTGAGCAGAGCCTAAAGGAAACAGTGAAGTAAAGCACCCAAAAATGGCCTCTCATTCCGTCAATGTTAACTTTTTTTTTTTTTTTTTTCCAAAGTAAACTAGAAGATATGAAGACAGTTAAGAACTGTGAAAATACCACAAGATCATTTTGTGACCTCACAGATCAGTGGAAAAGAGAATACGAGCTCTACCTCGTCAACCTAGAAGGATTCAGCGGGAACACAACCTTGATCACTTGCACACACAATTTCTGGCTGCCCATGGACAGTGAGTTGATCTCTGTTTCTCCACCTCGTCCTCATCATCGAAATCACTAATATTTGCTATTCCATGAAATAGGAGGTCTGCAAAGGTGTTTTAGACTTGAGGCTGGGCTCTTCTCCCGGCTGCCACTTCCTAGCTCTGTAACCAGGGACTGCCTTGCTTCTCTGAGCCTTGGTTTTCTGGCTTTTTTCTTTTGTTTTTGAGATGGAGTTTTCGCTTTTGTTGCCCAGGCTGGAGTGCAATGGTGTGATCTCGGCTTACCACAACCTCCATCTCCCGGGTTTAAGTGATTCTCCTACCTCAGCCTCCTGAGTAGCTGGGATTACAGGCATGCACCACCATACCTGGCTAATTTTTTTTTTTTTTTGTATTTTTAGTAGAGATGGGATTTCTCCATGTTTGTCAGGCGAGTCTCGAACTCCTGACCTCAGGTGATCCGCCTGCCTCAGCCTCCCAAAGTGCTGGGGTTACAGGCGTGAGCCACTGTGCCTGGCCGTGGATTTTTTAGTCTGAAAAGTGGAATGATAATTTGTACTTCGCTGATTCACCCAATGCCTATATAAGGCAGTGGGAGCTACTCTTTTTCAGTTTCACAGCTTGACAAGAAGTGTGGAGCCTGGTTCAGATGGGCTGGGTCTAAGCTGTCCCATCTCTTTGGCCCAGTGTTTTTTTTCTTTCTTCTTTTTTGTTGTTTTTGAGATGCAGTCTTGCTCTGTGTCACCTAGGCTGGAGTGTAGTGGTATGATCTCGGCACACTGCAACCTCCACCTCCTGAGTTCAAGCGATTCTCCCTCATCAGCCTCTGTAGTAGCTGGGATTACAAGCACACGCCACTATGCCTAGCTAATTTTTTGTACTTCTAGTAGAAATTGGGTTTCACCATGTTGGCCAGGCTGGCCTCAAACTTCTTACCTCAAGTGATCCACCTATGTCAGCTTCCCAAGGTGCTGGGAATACAGGCATGAGCTACCACACCTGGCCCCAGTGTTTTCTTAATATAGCAACTCCAGCCCCACATTAGTTCTTATATGTGTGAACACCAGGTGTGCACGCACCTATGACCCAAAGCTCAGAGGAGAAGGCTGGACCCCAAGAACAGGTCCACTGCTTCTTTCTTTCCCTAGGACTCAGGCTGGTCTTGAACTCCTGAGGTCAAGCGATCCACGGGTCTCAGCCTCCCAGATGACTCAAGTCAGCTCCCTCACGTACTGTGTTAACAGCCCCAGCTCTGTTACTTTTTCGATTCCCACTTCACGACCAGTTTCCGAGAGAACGATTCGGTCTCAGTGTCCTGCCATAGGCTGTGTGGGTGTGCATGTGCTCACACACACTTTGCAAAGCGGTAAGGATGACTGAATCCCACTGCGGCAAACAATCCGAATACGAGATTTACTGGAATTGTGTGCATGTTTGTGTATGTGTATAAACAGACATCTGTGTGTACACACAGAAAAGAAAGAAAATCAGAATGTGCAGGTCATGGTATTCAGGTTGTTAAAGGAAGTGTATTCAAGTAACAGTAAGATATGTTTCATGACTCAAATAATAAATACAAAAAATACATAAATGCCCAGGTTTAGAGGGAATACAAAAGGTGTGCTTGGACACGATCCATCTGAAGGTGATTGACAGCATGTGTTAAAAACCTTCACGGGCCGGGCGCGGTGGCTCACGCCTGTAATCCCAGCACTTTGGGAGGCCGAGGCGGGTAGATCACGAGGTCAAGAGATCGAGACCATCCTGGTCAACATGGTGAAACCCCGTCTCTACTAAAAATACAAAAAATTAGCTGGGCATGGTGGCGCATGCCTGTAATCCCAGCTACTCAGGAGGCTGAGGCAGGAGAATTGCCTGATCCCAGGAGGTGGAGGTTGCGGTGAGCCAAGATCACGCCATTGCACTCCAGCCTGGGTAACAAGAGCGAAACTCCGTCTCAAAAAAAAAAAAACCTTCACATGTGCTTAATCCAGAATTCTTCTTTAGTAATTTGTCCTAAAGAAATTATTAAGGTCAGGCACAGTGGCCCACACCTGTAATCCCAGTACTTTGGGAGGCCAAGACCTGTGGGTCATTTGAGCTCAGGAGTTCAAGACCAGCCTGAGCAACATGGTAAAACCCCATCTCTACATTAAAAAAAGAAGAAGAAAGAAAGAGAGAGAGAAAAAGAAAGAATATGAAGGACAAATGCAAACAGTTAACTGCAAGAATACCCCATGATACATTGTTTTTAATAAAACTCAGAGCTAATTTAAATGTTCAAAACAGTGAATCAGTTAAATCATGATACAGTCACTTAGTGGAATAGCATTAGCAATGAAAAATTCTAATGTAAATCAGGGCTTGGCAGATTTTCTATAAAGGGCCAGAGAAGAACCGCTTTAGACTTTGTGGGCCACACATGGTCTCTATCACGTATTCCTCTCCATTTTTGTTTACCTGACCCATCACAGTGGCTCACACCTGTAATCCCAGGTTTGGGAGGCCAAGGTGGAAGATCACTTGAGCCCAAAAGTTTGAGACCAGCCTCAGCAACATAGTGAGGCCCTATCTCCACAAAAATAAAAATAAATGACTTATTTTATTTTTGGTGGTACATGCATGTAGTCCCAGCTACTTGGGAGGCTTGGGTGGTAGAATCACTTGGGCCCAGGAGTTCAAGGTCTTGTTGAGCTGTGATTGCACCACTGCATTCCAGCCTGATGACAGAAAGAGACTCTATCTCTAAAGAAGTTAATAAATGAATAAAACCCATTCTGAACTTGAAGGCTCCCAAAAAGGGAGGGAGGGAGGGAGGAAGGAACTGAAGGCCAAAGTTTACCAGCCCTTGTTGTAGATAGCTATGTATTAATATGTTTATGAAATATGGTTAAGTAAAAATACATACCATGCAAAACAGTATAAGTTAGACTGATTCAACTTTAGTTTGTATATATGTGTGTGTATATATGTATGTGTGTATATACATATACACATATACGTACTAGTTTATATATGTGTATATGTATATATTTATACACACACAGCACAGACAAAAGATAATTAATCACATTCAAAGAAAATTGCCTGTCTGTATTTTTTTATATTTCTACAATGACTTTGTATTATTATTGTAATATGAAGAAGTCATTTTTAATTTTATGTTTTGAATATAGCCTGAAAATAGTGAAAGTTACTGGTTTCCATTCCAGAATCATCTGTCCTTCATTTCCTGTAGTAATGTTAAATCATTTCACTTATATTATTCTCAGTTTTTCACTAATAAAATTAAAATAACACATGCTGGCTGGGCGCGGTGGCTCACACCTATAATCCCTGCACTCTGGGAGGTCGAGGCGGGTGGATCACGAGGTCAGAGATCGAGACCATCCTGGTCAATGAGGTGAAACTCCATCTCTACCAAAAATACAAAAATTAGCTGGGCATGGTGGTGTGTGCCTGTAGTCCCAGCTACTCGGGAGGCTGAGGCAGGAGAATTGCTTGAACCCAGAAGGCAGAGGTTGCAGTGAGCCGAGATTGTGCCGTTGCACTCCAGCCTGGGTAAGAAGAGCGAAACTCCGTCTCAAAAAATAAATAAATAACACATGCCACAACTAGGATCATAGGCAGATTAAAAAGAAAGTAGCTGGGCTGGGCTGGGCTTGGTGGCTCATGCCTGTAATCCTAGCACTTTGGGAGGCTGAAGTGGGTGGATTGTTTGAGTCCCAGAGTTTGAAACCAGCTTGGGCAACGTGACAAAACCCTGTCTCTACAAAAAACACAAAAAGTATCCAGGTGTGGTGGTGTGTGCCTGTAGTACCAGCTACTCGGGAGACTGAGGCAGGAGGATCGCTTGAGCCTGAGAGGCAGAAGCTGAAGTGAGCTGAGATGGGGCAGCTGCACTCCAGCCTGGGTGACACAGTGACACCCTATCTCAAAGAATAAATTAAATAAATAAATAGCTTTTCTTTAAAAGAAGTAAGGTTGCACCAGGACATGAGAGGCATTGTCATTCTGCAATTATTAACTGACATGGGGTTTGTTTCTGACTTTGTTTTCTGAAGTGTCTTTTGAACCACCAGAGTTTGAGATTGTTGATTTTACCAGCCACATTAATGTGACAGTGAAATTTCCATCTGTTGTTGAGGAAGAATTACAGTATGATTTATCACTCGTCATTGAAGAACAGTCAGAGAAGATTGTTAAGAAGGTAAGTGGCTCCTCTGTTAGAATCAAAACAGTTCTGGTGGGCAGTTGATACACCACTCTGTCTCTCTTCTGAAAGGAAAATATGCAGTTAAACAATTAAAGCTAAAAGGTCAGGTCAGTATGGTCCGACCTTAGGGAAGAAGTCACTATAGTTCATTCACTAGATTGATCTAAACCTCAGCACAGTCTTCTTTAAAAGAATAAGCCACAACCAAGCATGGTGGCTCACACCTATAATCCGAGCACTTTGGGAGGCCATGGCAGGCAGATCATGAAGGTTAGGAGTTCAAAACCAGCCTGGTCAACATGGTAAAACCCCATCTCTACAAAAAATACAAAAATTAGCCAGGTGTGGTGGTGGGCACCTGTAATCCCAGCTACTTGGGAGGCTGAGGCAGGAGAACCGCTTGACCCCAGGAGGTGGAGAGTGTGGTGAGCTGAGATTGCGCCATTGCACACCAACTGGGTGACAGAGCGAGACTCCATCTCAAAAAAAAAAAAAAAAAAATAAGGCACATACACAACATCAAGGGACACACAGGAGAGAGAGGGCATGGGAGGGAGATGCAGACTACAGCCAAATTTCAGTGAGCCCCTGAGAGATTTCTTTGAAAAGGAGGGTTTAGCTGAGCCAACCGTGAAAAACACCTGTCGCTGCCTGTCTGGCCCTCACACACAGTAAGAAACTGGCTCTTCTGACAGAGTCTGTCCTCTCCTGATTTCTGCGAAGGACCTGACTGTTGGTAACCTCAAGGTAATCTGGTATCAGACAGACCTGGATCTTCCACTTTTGTCTTCCGTACCCCTCTGAATGCTGGAATAAGTGGAAGTGGAAAAATGGCTCTCACCGGTGGGCCATGCTGTAACAGCAGCTTACATCCGTAGAGCCCTTAGCCAAGTTTAAAATCCTTGCAAGACCAGCCTGAGAGATAACAGGGTAGGTGCATTTCAGGCAGAGGGCACAGGAAGTTCAAAGGCTCTGAGGCTGGAGTGGGCTTGGTGTGTTTCAGAAACAGCAGGGAGAGGTGGCTGTAATGGAGTGAACAAGAGGGAGATTAGGAGGAGGTCAGGTCAGAGAGTAAATGTGGCTGGACCTCATAGGACTTTATGGTTCTGGGTCTTCTGAGTGTGATGGAAGCTCCTGGAGGACCCAAGGCTTAACAGGGCATCCTGGCTGGAGTGTTGAAAATAGACCATTGGGGCAAAGGTGGGAGTTAGGAGACCAGTTAAGACACAGTCAGGGTGCCAGTCACTTAATAGGCAGTAACAAAGTATGCATATTACCGTTTTTCCTTTAACATGGACATGGATTATAATCAACACTCTAGGTAAAGGAGCAAAAATGGGGGGGAATAAGTCTATGTGGCCTAAGGACTATGTCAAGTATCATTAAATGTCCTATTTCAATCATGTCTCATTTGTGTTCACCCCATACGCAACTAACTCCATGTTTTAGATTATGATTTCTAAAATAAGAGACCGAGGCTTATTGGGATATTGACTGCTCTGTAAGAGGAAAAACTATACTTAGTAGGCATCTTCTTCATAAAGAAAATAGCCTTCAAATTAAATCAAGAAAAAAAAATAAGCTATTGGTATAATCCAGGCAACAGGTGGTGGTGGCATTGACCTTGATAGTGGAGGGCTAGTGAGTAGTAAAAGCCATCAAATTCTGCAAATATTTTGCACATGGAACAAGACTAACTTCCCCATTAACTGTGGAAGATTATGGATGAAGCTAGGAAGGGTGAGATAGGGCTGTGGGGTTTGTGACATGTTAAATTCCAGGTGCCTCTAAGGGATCTAAGAGGAGACGTGGGGAAGGAGCTGGATGTGCCAGTCTGGAGTCCAGGGGAGAACCCCCAGCTAGAAAGAGATCCTGGTGGGAGTCATTGGCTTCTTGGTGCATGCTGAATGCCCTGAGACCAGATGAGATCACCCAGGAAGAGACACTCAGATTGGAGAGAAGACATCCAAGGACAGAGTCTGGAAACATTCCAAAATTTGGAGATCTGGCAAATGAGGAATAAACAGCAAAATTGAGAAAGAGCAACCAGCATGGTAGGGAGAAAAACAGGTGAGAGTGGTGTCCTGGTAGCTGAGAGAACATTCCAGAAGGAGAAAGTGGTATACTGAGTTCAGGGCTGCAAATGGGACAAGTTAGAAGAGGACTGATTAGGCAACATTGTGTCCTTGATAAAAGTAGTTTTAGTAGAGTCAGGGGCAAAGAGCTGGTTGTGGTGAATTCAAGAAAGATGGGGAGGAGAAAAATTGGAGACAGGGAAGAGAGCTCACTCTTCGAAGGAGTTTTTCCGAATAGGGAAGGAGGATGTGTGGTGGCCACTGGAGGGGAAGATTTTGGTTTGTTGGGATGTAAGTTTGTTTACTAACTCCTCCTCCCAAAAAGAAATTTACAGAAAAACATTATTACTGAAGGCTATATTTGAGCTGCTAGGAATCCTCATTTATAAAACTGCTAGTAAGAATGTATTTTAAAAGCTATAAAACATGACACAAAAGTTCTTATTCATGAAAGAACCTTCATATCATCTTTTAAATTCTGAAGTGGAACACAACTATAGGAAAGAAGAGGCAAGGTGCTTAAAGGGAGAAGATGGCTGGGCGCAGTGGCTCACGCCTTTAATTCCAGCATTTTGAGAGGCCAAGGTGGGCAGATCACTTGAGGTTGGGAGTTCAAGACCAGCCTGGCCAACATGGCAAAACCCCATCTCTACTAAAAATACAAAAATTAGGTCGGGCACAGTGGGTGGCTCACGCCTGTAATCCCAGCACTTTGGGAGGCCGAGGCAGGTGGATCATGAGGTCTGGAGTTCAAGACCAGCCTGGCCAACATGGTGAAACCCTGTCTTTATTAAAAATACAAAAATTAGCCAGGCATGGTGGCCTGCACCTGTAGTCCCAGCTACACAGGAGGCTGAGGCGGAAGAATCATGTGAACCCGGGAGGCAGAGGTTGCAGTAAGCTGAGGTTGGGCTACTGCACTCCAGCTTGGGCGACAGAGCAAGACTTCGTCTAAAAAAAAAAAAGAAAAGAAAAGAGAAACCAAAACAAAACAAAAAATATAAAAATTAGCTGGATATGATGGCAGGTGCCTGTAATCTCAGCTACTCAGGAGGCTGAGACAGGAGAATTGCTTGAACCCAGGAGGTGGAGATTGCAGTGAGACAAGATCATGCCATTGCACTCCAGCCTGAGCAACAGAGTGAAGTCCTATCTATATATATATACATATATATTTATATATTTTTAGATATATATTATGCATCACATATATATGTATATATCTTATCCTAGATATCATATAAATATGATAAAGGGAGAAGATGAGAAACTAGCCATCAGTCAGTTTTGTCACAGACAAGTTCTCTGACCTTGGAGAAGTTACTTAGCCACAATGAGCTAGTTTTCTCATTTGTTGAATGGAGATAATGCCTATTTTGCAGACTGCTTTGAAAATCAAAAGAGTTAATACAATGAAGGCACTTTCTCCAGTGTAAAGTAGACACACACTATCCATGAGAGAAGGTAATCTTGTAAAAATGACTTCACAGAGACATTTATTCCTCTTTGAAGACCTTTATCTCATTTGTAAAATGGAGCTGTCAGACTAGATTTCACGGTTATAAAATATGTGTGTGTGCGGGTGTATGTAAGTGCGCATACATGTAGTTTAAATTACTTGCTCCAGGTGACTTATAAATCCTTTTTCTTACCAAGCCAGTGATAAATTTAACTCTGTTTGCAGACAAATCCCAAAGGAGATTCTTAAGGCCTGCCTCTGAATGAAATTCTCATAGTCTTACTGATTTTTTGTTTATTTTTACAGCATAAACCCGAAATAAAAAGAAACATGACTGGAAATTTCACCTATGTCATTGACAAGTTAATTCCAAACACAAACTACTGTGTATCTGTTTATTTTGTGTCTAAAGATCAGGAGACAGTAATAAAGTCTCCGTTAAAATGCACCCTCCGTCAGCCTTGCCAGGAATCAGGTATGTTCACTTTTTAAAATTCATGTTTTGAGAATTCGTGCTTTCACTCTGAGGGCAAGCCTATTTAAAGGCCAAGAATCTGCAATTCGTGGAGCACTAAAGGTCTTTCTTCAGTAACGGCACATCACAGAGATGTTTTCCTTGGTGGGTGTGTACCATCTGGTAAAGTCACTTTTATGTTGTCATAACAAAAGGCAGTCAGACACTACTTGATGAGATCAGAAATCCTGCAGTGGAAACGCTTTTGTCTCAGGGAATCAGGATTAAGTTCAGCGCTCTGTGCCCCTAGTGTGGCCATTGTTCAAGCCAAATGCTGGAAGAGGGGGAGTTCCTTGAGACCGTGGTATACAGTGGCATTAAAGGGTGAAAGGTGGAAGCAGTGAGGTTGGGTGCAGTTCCTAGATGTGGTCTGGCATCAGCTGTCACTCGTAGATGAAAGGGAGCCTTGCCAGGGTGTATGAGAAAATCACTGATGAAGGCTGAACATTTTTCTGTGACACAAACATCAGAACAGAAAGCTGTGTGATCCCGAACCCTCCTCCCTCCCTATGCAGTGAGAACAATCAAGCCTTGGGACTTCCTGCTGATTATTTTCTCAGGAAGTAGCCAAGTCTCCACCTGTTTTACCAAAAGTGAGAAGCTGTGCAAATCTCCCTCGAAGGAGCCCTTCTAAATGTCCCTACCCCAATGTTAGGGGAAAGCGGTCCCAATCCAGACCCCAAGAGAGGGTTTTTGCATCTTGCACAAGAAAGAATTCAGGGCAAGTCCATAAAGTGAAAGCAAGTTTATTAGGAAAGTACAGGAATAAAGAATGGCCACTCTGTAGACAGAGCTGCCTGAGGGCTGTCAGTTGCCCGTTTTTAGGTTATTTCTTGATGATATGCTGAACAAGGGCTGGATTATTCATGCATTCCGCTTTTGGACCATATAGGGTAATTTCCTGACGTTGCCATGGCATTTGTAAACTGTCATGGCACTGGTGGGAGTGTCACAGTGAAGACAACCAGTGGTCACTCTCATCGCCATCTTGGCTTTGGTGGGTTTGGCCGGCTTTACTGCAACATGTTTTATCAGCAAGGTCTTTATGACTTGCACCTCATGCCAACATGCTATCTCATCCTGTAAGTTAGAATGCCTTAACTGTCTGAGAATGCAGCCCAGAAGGTCCCAGCCTCATTTTACCCAGCTCCTATTCAAAATGGAGTTGCTCTGGCTCAGATGCCTGTGACACCAATGGGAGTATCTTTAACGCTCTGATTTACCAGAGTAAAAACAAGGTTTAAACTTTGGTTTAAGTTGTAAACCAAACTAAAATTCAATCTCCCCAACCAACTGAATGGACCCCTCCTCTCAGCCAAGGGCCAAGTAAAGTAAAGCAAACCGGAAGCACTAGTTCAGGCCGTGATGGGAATGAGTGGTCCAGACGTGCCTCCTTGTACCTTCCTACGTTTAGAATTTGGCACAGCTAGCCAGCGTTAATATTAAAACAGAAGCCTTAAGACTGACAAAAAGATGCTTTGTAGCACTAAGATACCAACATGATGGATAGCAGGCCCTAAAATAAAGTATTTTACCCCAAAATACTTTCGACATATTTTGAAATTACCCTGCAAAGCTGTATCTTGTGGGGAAAAATCTACATTCTATAAAGAACCTCCTTCCCAGTTCAGGTCTTCCTCCTGATCCAAGAGAGAATTCACTGAAAGTCTGGCACTTTTTTAAGTCCAATAAGAAACATTTACAGGCCGGGCGCAGTGGCTCACGCCTGTAATCCCAGCACTTTGGGACGCCAAGGTGGGCAAATCACCTGAGGTCAGGTGTTTGAGAGCAGCCTAATCAACATGGAGAAACCCCATCTCTACTAAAAATACAAAATTAGCTGGGCATGGTGGTGCATGCCTATAATCCCCGCTACTCAGGAGGCTGAGGCAGAAGAATCGCTTGAATCCAGGAGGCAGAAGTTGCGGTGAGCCAAGATCATGCCACTGCACTCCAGCCTGGATGGGCAACAAGAGGGTAACTCTCTACTAAAAAAGAAAAAAAAAGAAACATTTACAATCTATTCTCTCTGAAGCCTGCTAGCAGAGGCTTCATCTGCTTACAAGGATGCCCTCCACAACCCTTTATCTTAATCCAGACGCTTCCTTTTATAAACTCCCAAGTTTTTAATCAGAAAATCTTTGAATCTGCCTATGACCTGGAAGCCCCCACTTCGAGTTGTCTCACCTTTCCAGACTGAACCAATATATGTCTTACGTGCATTGACTGACGCCTTATATCTCCCTAAAATTTATAAAACCAAGCTGCACCCTGACCAGGGGTTCTCAGGATCTCCTGGGGCTGTGTCATGGGCCGTTGGTCACTCATATTTGGCTCATACTGAATCTCTTCAAGTATTTTACTGACTTTGGCTCCTTTCGTTGGCAAAGCAATATGGTCATTTGTTAAGGAAGCCAGCTACGGTTATGTTGCCTAGCACGTAATATAGTGCTCCACGTGGGCCTCACTGCAGGGCAATCTGATTTCATTCTCTAGTGTTCCTCAAGGCCAGATGATGCACAGGCTCGTTTTAAAGGAAAAAACATCTCAGACACCTTTAGCTTAAGTTATTTTTATAATGTCAACTACATACAGGCAAACCTAAAACTGCATATGGATTCTACCTGACTACATAGTTCTTTCAAAAATAGAAATCCAAAATACATGTACATGTCTCTGTTCTCAGCAGTCTGACACTAACTCGTTGTCCAATGATTCAGTTTGTTTCTGACACCAACTACCCGAGATTAGCATAGACCCCACAGATTGAAGGCTCAGTCCCGCAAAGCTGCTGCCCCCACTTCAAATGCCAGCCACAGTCCTGGGTGCCAAGGTCACCTGCACTTCCATTTGATTTGGCTACAAATTCAGGAGTTCCCATGACCTCCCTTTAGGTTTGATAGTTTGCCCAAATGACTCACAGAACTCAGGAAAGTGTTACGCTGAGGATGACCATCTTATTATAAAGGAATGGATTGACAGCCATTGAAGAGGTGCACAGGACAAGATCTGGAAGGGCCCGAGTGCAGGAGCTTCTGTCACTGGGGAGTCGGGTGCACCACCTTCTCAGTACATCCATCTCTTCACCAATCTGGGAGCTCCCCAAGCCTTGGTGTTCACAGTCTGCATTGGGTTTCATTATGTAGGTGTGATTGATTAAATCACGGGCTGCAGAATTGAATGACGTCTCCAGCCCACTCCCCTCCTTGGATAGAGGTCAGAGGGAGAGCTGGATGTTCCAACTGTCTGATCATATGGTTAGTTTTTCTAGGGACCAGCCCTCATCCTGAAGCTATCCACACCCTGTCCCAGTCATCTCACAAGTATAAACTCATATATGGCCCCTACAAAGGACCCATTAGGACTAACAAAAGACACTCCTATTGGCCAGCACTTTATTTTCATTCTTTCCAATGCGTTACCTTCCTTATGGTGCTACAAAAATAAATTTTTGTCCTACAGAAAAATCTCTCAGTGCAGAATGCCTTCTCTTTTCATCTCTGGACTCTCAGGTCAATTAATTCCACCAGTCATGGTGAAACAACTTTATGAACTCTCCCCATCTCGGACTAAGAGATTAGCCATTTTTCCAGATGGGACTCAATGATAACGGCAGTGTCGAGGCTATTTCACTGCACTTGAACAGTTCATCAAAGGAGTCGTAAAGAGCCATTCTCCTGAAGAAATGGCAAAAACTTCATCCAATGTAACAACTGTATGATGTTTCCCATTTTGATTATTGCATTGTATTTTAATTTGTGCAGAATATTTAAGAATGTTCCTTTTAGAAGTGTTATGTCTGTACCTGTCTGAAGAGTGACATTAAACTTTGAAAGGACTTCAAAAAAAAAATTCTTGTTTGAAACTCTGGAAGCAAATAGGTTCCAGTAACATGGCCTCTCTCACTATCCGCTTGCCATCTGACCTACCCTCAACTAGCCAAACTCAGAAACCAGACAGTTTGGATGGTGAGGGATCTGGGAAGGAGAGCCCAAGACCAGCATTAACACAGGCTCAGCAGTAAGCACTCCCGTCTTAGGGCAGACTGATATGGGGCGGGGCAGGGGGACTTTAGCCCAGAGATCTAGAGAAACACCTTCCCCTTGTCAAGCCCTAAAATACATTGATTGGCTCTTTTAATCATAAGGCCCTAAGGAAAAGCTCTATTCATTCATTTGACAAATGTGTATTGGTGGCCTATTAATGAGCCAGATTCTTTCCTGGATATTGAGGATTTTGCAGTAAATAAAATAGATAAAAACATCTCACCTTGTAGAGCTTACACTGCAGTGCGAGACAGAGTAACAATATCAAAATGTAAACCATATAGTATATTAAGTGACAGTAAGTACCACGGAAAAAAAATTATGCGGGAAAAGAGGTGAGGGGAACGTCAGCTGGAGGGGAGTGGGTTGCTATTTTAAATAGGACTGTGTCTTGATTTGCATTTGCTAGATGCAGAGCCTGGGATGTGATTCAGATTCAAGTGTGATTTATTGTTGGGGGCATCTTAGAAGGGGAAAGAGGAAACAGCTAGGGTTGGGGAGAAAGAAATTAGGTGAGCCTGTGGCTCTCAGCTGAGCCTGATCCCAAGGGGTTCTCTGAAGCATAAACTGTATCCTAAAGTTAGCCGGCCAGTCAGTTAGCCAGCCTGTCGGTTACTGGGGGAGAGCTACAGCATGGCCTCCAGGTGAGGTGGCCTCCTTTTGGCCAAGGGCAGTTCCTTAGAGAAGGATCACCTCCGAGATGCATCAGCAGACACGTGCGGCAGCAGTAGGGGGTGTGCACTGAAGAGGGGACATGGGCAGACCACCAACAGCATCCACCTCAGGTGGCCACAGAGGGCCTTCCTGAGAAGGCAGCATTTGAGTAAAGACCCAAGGGAGATGTGGTAAGCAGAATAGTGGCCCCCAAAGATGTCTACATCCTAATCCCAGATATGTGAACAGACTAACGTCTATAACAAAAGGGCTTGTGGGTATGATGAAATTGAAGATCTTGGCCAGGCGCAGTGGCTCATGCCTGTAATCCCAGCACTTTGGGAGGCGAGGCAGGTGGATCACCTGAGGTCAGGAGTTCAAGACCAGCCTAGCCCACATGGTAAAACCCCATCTCTACTAAAAATACAAAAGTTAGTCAGGTGCGGTGGCATATACCTGTAGTCCCAGCTACTTGGGAGGCTGAGGCAGGAGAATTACTTGAACCCGAGAGGTGGAGGTTGCAGTGAGCCAAAATTATGCAACTGCACTCCAGCCTGGGCTAGAGAGCGAGACTCTGTCTCAAAAAAAAAAGAAAGAAAGAAAGAAAGAGGCAGGAGACTCAGAGGCAGAGAAGGAGCTCTGACAGCAGCAGCAGAGGTCAGAGAGTGAGGATGAAGGAGGGGGCCATGAGCCAAGGAATGCAAGTGACCTCTAGAAGCCAGGAAAGGCAAAGAAATGGGTCTACCCCTAGAGCTCCAGAGGACTGCAGTCCTGCTAACGCCTTAATCTTTTTTATCCCAGTGAAGCCCATTTTAGACTTCTGACCTCCAGAACTATTAATATAACATAATATATTTGTATTGTTTTATGGCACTAACTTTGTCATAATTTGTTACGGTAGCAGTGGAAAACAAACACAGGGTGAGGGAGCGAATCACACAGACATAGCAGGGGAGGGAGTTCCACATGCGAGGTTCAGCAAGTGCAGAGGCCCTGAGGCAGGATGTGCATGGCATGGCACAGCAGGAGGGAGCTGAACAAGGGAAGAATAGTAACAGTTCAGGTCAGAGAGGATGGAGGAGGCTGAATGATGTAGCACTTGGAAGCCGTTGCAAGAAATGGCCCTCAGAGGGTTGTGAGCAGGTTGCTCACTGTGATCTGAGTTAGGGTGTCAAGGGAACATCCACATGCCTTGAAGTGTGAGCCAGGTGACCTGGGCTGATTACTGCAGTCCCCCAGTGGGGAGGCGGTGTGGCTTATTGCAGAGAGATAATAGGGGAGGAACTCTTTTTTTTTTTTTTTTTTTTTTTTTTAAGACGGAGTTTCGCTCTTGTTACCCAGGCTGGAGTGCAATGGCGCGATCTCGGCTCACCGCAACCTCCGCCTCCTGGGTTCAGGCAATTCTCCTGCCTCAGCCTCCTGAGTAGCTGGGATTACAGGCACGTGCCACCATGCCCAGCTAATTTTTGTATTTTTAGTGGAGATGGGGTTTCACCATGTTGATCAGGTTGCTCTCGATCTCTTGACCTCGTGATCCACCCGCCTCAGCCTCCCAAAGTGCTGGGATTATAGGTGTGAGCCACCGCACCTGGCAATAGGGGAGGAACTCCAAGAGATTGAGGTTAGACATCACCAATCTTTCCACAGGGTTCTTTCTCTTTCCGTTAAAGCTTATAGTGATCAGATATTACCAGCCCGGTTGCTCAGTGCATCCATCTGCTTGTGAGGTTTCTTATATTCGGTTTAAAATATCTCCACAATGAATCCAGAGACAGACACGTTTGCCCAAGGCCAAATTTTGAAGACATTTGATCTCTCCTTCCCAAGATGCTCACTCATCTTTCATGAAGAAGATAGTTAACAGCAGTAACATTCAATCACAGCTTCTCCTTTTTTAAGTTGGAACACTGACGAGATTCATCTCTTTACAAATATGAATATTTAAAAATAGCATGCATGTATAATTGTCATGACCCCACGTGAGATTTGATTTTATTTTATTTTTTTGAGTTGGAGTTTTGTTCTTGTTGCCCAGGCTGGAGTGCAATGGCAAGGTCTCAGCTCAGCATACCTCCACCTCCTGCGTTCAAGTGATTCTCTTGCCTCAGCCTACTTGGCCACCACACCCAGCTAATTTTTTGTATTTTTAGTAGAGACTGGGTTTCTCCATGTTGGTCAGGCTGGTCTCGAACTCCTGACCTCAGGTGATCCGCCCACCTCAGCCTCCCAAAGTGCTGGGATTACAGGCGTGAGCCACCATGCCCAGCCAAGATTTGTATTTTTTAGATTATCATCAAACTGAAAACAAAAAGTTTAAGTTCTCCTAAAGAATTCTTAGACTCTGCCAGGTGCAGTGGCGCACACCTCTGATCCCGTTACTTTGGGAGGCTGAGGTGTGCAGATCACAAGGTCAGGAGTTCAAGACCAGCCTGACCAGCATGGTGAAACCCTGTCTCTACTAAAAATACAAAAAATTAACCGGGCATGGTGGTGCACACCTATAATCCCAGCTACTTGGGAGGCTGAGGCAGGAGAATTGATTGAACCCAGAAGGCAGAGGTTGCAATGAGCCGAGATCACGCCATTGCACTACAGCCTGGGCGACAGAGCAAGACTCCATCTCAAAAAAAAAAAAAAAAAAAAGAATTCTCAGACTTATGAGAATACCCCAAATTGAGGAATATTATCCTAGCATATTAACTACAATTTATACAGTTTGGTTTATAGGATGTCCTATTACATAGTTGACATAGAGTGCTTTGTAGCTATTACATGAAAGTTGGGTAGGTACATGAGTCAGAATCTCAGTATGATGCCATTGCTTCGCCAATGAAATCATTTTTGGTTTACAGTACCCTTTTCAAGAATGTAAACTCTATACATGTCAGAATTGTGTATATTAAAGGCGTGCCTCTGTGGCCAGATCTGATTCTAGAACTGTCATTGAGATGACAGTCCAATTCTTCACACTCTTAATGGGGATGAGAGTGGACTCTGGAACCATGTGCTTTCTAGCAGTGCATGAGTTTTTACTGAACTTCTTTCTATTCATTCCTTAACCTTCTAGAAGACTGAGAGTGTATAATCCATTTTTATCTCCTTTTTTCTCATCTCTATCTGTTTTTGCCTGAGGCTGTAGTTCCAGGATTAATGCTAAGGAAGACCTTTCTTGAAGTGCAAGGGAGCCCTAGTGGTAGAAGAGAGCCTGATGATTTCTTCTCAGCCTGGGCACGCATCAGGAAAATAACTATGATCGGAAAGTTGAAATTGTCCAAAAGGAATTTTGATGAGAAACTAAGGGGAAGTGTTAACAGCAAGGCGAGTTCTGCAGAGCCCTGATTTGGGGCCCTGGTGTGGCTAAAGTCCAGGCTCAGAGTGAGCAACTACCAGTCGGTTGTTTACAGACAAACTTTCCTTCCTCAGCACATGCTAACTAGCGTGGCCACTGAAGTTGGAGATGTGTCTCACGTGACTGAGAGACGGAGCTCTTAATTCTATTTAATTTTGATCATTTAAATTCAGCCAACTATAGTTAGTGGCTACTGTATTGGACAGTGCAGTTATAGAACGTAAACTGAAGGAAATTTTACTCTTAAAAGCGAAGTCTATTGTATTGTTTAAAAAATGCCCACTTAGATTATTCTCTAGTCTTTGGTATTTTGCAATATAAAACTGTTTTCTCAAACCTTTGGTTTCTTGATCGCCTTCTAACACTGGACCAATGTATATTTATTTCCATCTGCAATTGTTTATTGCATTTTTTTGAAATAAAGTCATTTAATTTTTCATCAACAGATTCAGAATCAGCAGAATCTGCCAAAGTAGGAGGAATGATTACTATGTTTTTCATAGCATTGGTCTTGACAAGCTTAGTGACACTGAAACGGACTGGGTATATATGCTTGAGAATCAGCCTCCCCAGAGCCTTGGTAGGTAGTTGGTTTTTTGTTTTTGTTTTTGTTTTTTGTAATTTCTACCTTTGCTTTTTATTTTAACTTAAAAATTTTTATTTATATAGTTATTTTTCACAGAAGAAAATCTCATTTTCTGTAAACACCAAAATGCTTTCTCACTCTGAGTTCTTTTCCATCCCTGTAAATAATATATTGTGCAGTTGTAAGTACATCTGTATATGTTGTTTTTGTCTTTTTTTTTGTTTGTTTTTTTTTGAGACAGAGTCTCATTCTGTAACCCAGGCTGGAGTGGAGTGGCATGACCTCAGCTCACTGTAACCTCTGCCTCCTAGGCTCAAGCAGTTCTCGTGCCTTAGCCTCTCAGGTAGCTGGGACTATAGGCATATGCCACCACACCTGGCTAATTTTTGCATTTTTAGTAGAGACGGGGTTTCACTATGTTGGCAAGGCTGGTCGTGAACTCCTGACCTCAAGTGATCCACCTGCCTCGACCTCCCAAAGTGCTGGGGTTACAGGCATGAGCCACTGCTCCCAGCAATGTGTGTGTGTGTGTGTGTGTGTGTGTGTGTGTGTGTGTACATATATATACTTCATCACCTATAATTTATGATGATTAGGCAGAATTTCATTATTATTATTGTACCATTTTTCATTTAACCATTTCTCAGCTGTAGGGCATTCGGATTTCTCTTTCTTTTCCTTCCTTTCTTTGGCCATGACAATAAACATGTTTATATGTATCATCTTTTGGTTTTGGATTACGTCAGTGGAAGATATACACAAAGTGGATTTATCCTATAAAAAGATACAAAAAGGGCTGTGCATGGTGGCTGATGCCTTTAATCCAGCACTTTAAGGGACCGAAGCAGGTGGATCATTTGAGCCCAGGAGTTCGAAACCAGCCTGGGCAATGTAGGGAAACCTCATCTCTAGAGAAAGTAAAAATAAATTAGCCAGGTGTGGTGACACATGCTTGTGGTCTCAACTGCTCAGGAGGATGTACTTGGGAAGGTTGTTTGAGCCCAGGAGGTGGAGGCTGCAGTGAGCTGTGACCACTCCACTGCACTCCAGCCTCAGTGACAGAGTGAGACCCTATCTCTAAAAATACATAAATAACTTAAAAATATAAAGAAGCTTCCCTCTGGCTGTTCATGTGTAAAAAATAAAAATAAAGAAAAATATGTAGATAAAGAAGCAGCCAAAAGAGAGGAAATCAAGAAGGAGTAAGTCAGAACAGTCTCTGCGGCTGGCAGCCTGCCCGGTTCACGAGCCAGCTGCCCCCACTCACCAGTCAGAAACCTTGAGCAAGTTTCTTAACCTCTGCACCTCCTTTTCTCATCTGTAAAGTGGGCATGAGAATAATAAGCCCACTTCATAGAGCAGTCGTGAGGGAAAGGTGAATTATATATAAAGCACCAAGAGTCATCCCAGAAAATAGCCCAGTGTAACTGTTGGCTGTGCTTATTGCTGTCATCATCGTCTGCATCTGCATCATCTGCATCTGCATCATCGGGCAGTCAATCTCACTAAGTTTATTTGTTTTTCTATTTTTTTAGCAGCAAGGTCTCGCTAAGGGCTGGAGTGCAGTGGCTGTTCACAGGCGTGATCACAGTGCACTACAGCCTCAAACTCCTGAGCTCAAACAGTCGTCCTGCCTAAGCCTCCCCAGTAGCTGGGATTACAGGCGTGCGTCTCTGTGCCCCAATGATTAAGTTGTATTATGTTAAAAGGAGCAAACAGTCACAGCTGATATGGACTCTTTTTTTTTTTTTTTTTAAGAATTTTCGTAACTTTTTCACCTGGCCATTTCCTGAGCTGCCACCGTTGGAAGCCATGGATATGGTGGAGGTCATTTACATCAACAGAAAGAAGAAAGTGTGGGATTATAATTATGATGATGAAAGTGACAACGAGACCGAGGCAGCCCCCAGGACAAGTGGCGGTGGCTATACCATGCACGGACTGACCCTCAGGGCTCTAGGTCAGGCCTCTGCCTCCTCCACCACCTCCGCAGAATCCCAGTTTGTAGACCCAGACTCTGAGGAGGAGCCTGAGCTGCCTGAGGTTGATACAGAGCCCCCCACGATGCCAACGTGCAGCCCCCAGCAGTTGGAACACTTGAGTGGGCTCTATGAGAGGAGAGAGAGTCCACTCCAGGACCCCTTTCCTGAAGAGGACTACAGCTCCACGGAGGGGTCTGGAGGCAGAATTACCTTCAATGTGGATTTAAACTCTGTGTTTTTGAGGGTTCTTGATGATGAGGACAGTGATGACGTAGAAGAAGCCCCTCTGATGATACCATCTCATCCGGAAGAGATGGTTGACCCAGAGGATCCTGACAATATGGAATCAAGCCATGTGCTGGCCAGTGGGGAAGGGACACAGCCAGCCTTTCCCAGCCCCTCTTCAGAGGGCCTGTGCCCTGAAGATGCTCCATCTGATCAAAGTGACACTTCTGAGTCAGATGCTGACCTTGGTGATGGTTATATAATGAGATGACTCCAAAACTATGTAATGAACTTGGACGGACAAGCACCTAGAGGGTTCTTTCTCCTTGCCCCTCACTCGCTGCTTTATGGTCTGCGAGTGTTCTCCAAGAGAAGGAGTAGGAAACTGTAGAGTGCCCTGTTCTTCCAGGTGACATCACCTGTGCAGCTTCCCAGTATGGGGAACATAGTATAATGCAGTGCATTGTTTACATATTCAAGGTGATGCACTTTGAAGGAAGCACATGTGCTTCTCCCTTTGCACTAATGTACTTAGGATGTCTCTACATCATGTTTCCCAGGGAGCAGGGTTCCCAGTGGTTTCAGAGGTGGTCCAGGGTCCTGATTTTTTTTTTTTTTTTGAGACAGAGTATCCTTCTGTCACCCAAGCTGGAATGTAATGGCATGATCTTGGCTCACTGCAACCTCTGCCTCCTGGATTCAAGCAATTCTCCTGCCTCAGCCTCCCTCACAAGTAGCTGGGATTACAGGCACCTGCCACCATGCCCAGCAAATTTTTGTATTTTTAGTAGAGATGGGAGTTCACCATGTTGGCCAGGCTGGTCTCGAACTCCTGACCTCAAGTCATCCGCCCACCTCCACCTCCCAGAGTGCTGGGATTACAGGCACCAACCACTGTGCTTGGCCACCCCTGTGATTTTTCTGGGAAATAAATTGGGGCAGTGTGGGAGCAGGGAAAGAAAAGGAAAATACTTAGCAAGAGCTGCAAAGATGGCAGGAAAGAAAGAGGAGGGACCGGTGAGCAGCTGGAGAGAACGGGGGCCCTGCACAAGGAAACGGAAAAGCCATCCAAGCTTCAGTCAGTGAGCCTTGGGCACCTCACCCGTGTCACATTCTGTCTCCTTCACTCAGAGTTCCACCTTTTCCAGCCCTCCCCAATTAAAGTGGGATAGACTCTAGGATCAAGCAGGTGATGATGACAGAGAGGAAACATGGCGTTGGGGAGAGGGATAAATATCTGAGTGCCATATTTTATGATTAAAAAAGCAAACACAAAGGTGCTTCAAGGTCTTCAGGAGAAATACAGCATACAAGTTTCAGAGACCCTATCTGACAATTTTCAGAGTGTTCTCTGTGCTGATTCTGAATTGAATGCACTACAGGTGATTACAGTTCCTGTGAATCTGGGTGGGGTGGGAGGGAGGGAAGTCTGATCAGGGGCAATTGCTCCTGCCTGTAATCCTAGCACTTTCAGAGGCCTAAGCAGGTGGATCCCTTGAGGCCAGGAATTCGAGATCAGCCTGGGCAACATGGCAAACTGTCTCTATGAAAAGAAAAAAAATTAACTGGGCATGGTGGCATGTGCCTGTAGTCCCAACTACTTGGGAGGCTGAGGTGGGAGAATGGCTTGAGCCCAGGAGGTAAAAGTTGCAGTGAGCCAGTTTCACACCACTGCCCTGCAGCCTGGGCAATAGAGCCCGACCCTGTCTTAAAGAAAAGGCGGTTGTGGGGGGCAGGGGGGAGGGGAATTTCTAGAATGTCATGTAGCAAACAGTTTAAGGACTGGGACTCAGGAATCCAACTCCCACCATTTCCCTGTGTGACTCTAGGCATTTGACTTAGCCTCTCTAAGCCTCGGTTTTCTTGTTTCTGAAATAAAGAGATTGGACTAGGTAATTTCCAAGATCCTATGAACCCAGGAGAAAGATGAGAAAATGTGCAAGAATAAACACTCAGGTGGAAATGCTGCAACCCTGAGAGGCTCCCGGGATGAATGAAAGGCATAGGACCCTCTTACCCTCACCCTGCCAAAAGCCAGTTTCTCAAACCTTTCTCATAGCCCCTTCACGAAGGGAAAACTTAAATTACACAAGTCGTAGTTCAAGGACTTTGAATAGATTATTTGTGTTGTATCGGACCGAGCACAGAAAGTCAACACCAAGACAAAAGTATGCCAAATTGCAGGGTGTATTGCCGGCGACCACGGAGGACTCACGTCTCTCCAACACGTGGCCCCGAAAGAGGAGTGACAAGACCCTTTTATACCCACAAAACTACTTTGGGAGTGGGGGTGAGGAGCGGAGATGGGATGAAAGTCTTCAGACATTTCGGGGGTCTGTAAATCACGTCCTTGGCAGAGAGGAGGGTGATGGGCTCCAGATATTCCGAGGGCCAGGGGAGAGATTTACAGAAGTTAAGATAACCATTTGCTTACACATCATCTGGGTAGGGGTTACTTGGTGCCAGAATGGAATTATCCAGGGGTGCTTACTCGCCATTACCGGTGATCAAAGGCCAGCAATTCTGGCAGTTACAGATAAGAGAAAGTATGCAGCTTTACCTTTTGGCATTTGGCAGTTTTAACAGAGACCAAGGCTAGCATTCATTGTGAGGAGAATGGAAACAGTTTTGTCTCTTTTTATAAAATGGCAGTGTACAGGTTCTAACTCTAGGCTAGCTATATCACATTTGTATTGCTCAAAAGTAACTCAAAATGATAGGGCTATGAAGAAGGAACCTCTTAGGAAAGAGACCTTTTGTATACAAATCAATTTATCTGCCTTCTGAATGCATCTCAGATTCTGAAAGATTTCCGGGTTCATCTTTTGATATAACCTCTATGGCTTCGTGTGTGTGTGTATTTTTTTAATTTTGTATAGTGATTGGAGGTTGGTAAAGAATAATACAGTACATTTTAATACAAACTTTGTGTGGTCTTGAGTTGTTTTCCACTGGAGAGTACTTGTTCCACAGATTGGTGCATCTGCTGGTGTCTCTAGGATTGCACCAACTCCTAGCTCTGCTTGGTGGCCTGCAGAGGCCTAGGACGCCTTCACCTCCCTCTGCTGGACTTCATGTGGTGTGGTAGCACCAGACTTCAGGCGGTGCTGTACATTACCCAAGACGTTGGACAACTCTGGAATATCCCATCTCACCACTCATCAAGTTAAAAAGGGGAAATTAACGCTTCTCGGCAGTCACTGAAAGAAACTAGTTATTTGCTTAATAAATGACTTGCCTTTGTTATTTATCCCTGGGGAGGAGAAGGGTAAAGGAGACCCTCTCAAACTGGATTTGCTGATGGAGTGCTTTTAACTCACGTGTGCGGAGAGAGGGCATTGAGAGAGGGCGTGCCTGTGCTTGGGACAAAACCTAGAAAATACTGAAAGCCACCGTCACCACCGTCATTCCAGCATCCAGATCTCAGTCCTGGGCTGGCGTCGTAGGGTATATGACTTGATGGCGCCTTTCAAAGCTTGCGTCTCCTCGTGTGCACCTGCCAAGCTCAGGAGCCTCGCGGGAGGACCCGGGTCGTGGGGTGGGGCTTGCAGCGGGAGAGGAGCCCGGTCGCCCGGCCCCGCCCCGCCCTGCCAGTTCCCGGAAGCGACCGAGGAGAAGCGCTCCCGGGCGCAGGCGGGGGTCGTGTGCCTGGCGGAGGCCGCGGCACCCCCAGCGCCCGCCCGGGCAGCCGGCGCGGCCATGGCGGGGAGCCTTGGGAGCTGGCTGGGCGGCTGCCTGCTGGTGTCAGGTGAGGGGTCCGCGGGGAGGGGAGGAGCTTGGGAACCGGGAGGCCCCGCCAGATGCCACCCGTGATCCCACCCCTGGGCACCTTGAAAGTGACTAAGTGCCCGGTCTGGCCGTCGGGGCCTCGGGACCGGAGATGCAAACGCCGCTGCCGGGGTGCTGAGAGGGGGCTGGGCTGCCGCTGCCGTCTATTCTGTAACAGGAGGAAGCCCTGCCCGCGCCGGATTACCGACGGTCTTGGGCCCTAAACTCAAGGGGAGACTCCCTGTCCTCCTGCATGTCTGCCCGCGGGCGTCTAAGCAAAGTAGCTTCCTCGAAAGACCCAAGAGCCCACCGTGGCTGTCATCTGGCCCTCTGGAGACCATCAGGTCAAGTGGAGGCCCCCAGAAGCCCCCAGCGCTCCAACAGCCCGACCCCAAGTCTCTGCCCGCCTCAGTGCCAGCTCTCCCTACAGACACGCCCCCATCACCCGCTGCACTTCCCCTCCTTCCGGGTTAGGCCTCAGCGCCCTGAAATCTGGATTCTGCGCCCCCCCCCCCGTCCAGCGCCCCAGCTTCATAGCTTCTAAACCTAATTCATTGAAACCTTTTTGAGACAGTCTCTCTGTGTCGCCAGGGTGGAGTGCAGTGGCAGGATCTCGGCTCCCTGCAACCTCTGCCTCCCGGGTTCAAGCGATTCTCCTGCCTCAGCCTCCCAAGTAGCTGGGATTACAGGCGCCCACCACTACACCCAGCTAATTTTTGTATTTTTAGTAGAGACAGAGCTTCACCATGTTGGCCAGGATGGTCTCTATCTCTTGACCTCATGATCTGCCCGCCTCAGCCTCCCAAAGTGCTGGGATTACAGGAGTGGGCCACTGTGCCTGGCGCTATCCTCTTAATTGACTGCCTAGGTTCCAATAACACGGTGGTCACGGCCTTCCTTTCTCATGAACTCTCCGCTGGCCTTCCAGGATACCCCTCCGGTTTCCCACCTACCCCTCAGGCTGTGTTGGCTTGGGACCCTCCTGTTCTGGCAGGTCTCTGTGGAGCTTATTGTGGTGCCTGAGGCCTCTTACACTGTTCCTTTGGGGGATTTCAGCCAAAGCCTGGCATTAAACGTGGGCTATAGGCCCATAACTTGCACATTCATATCTCTCTTGATGCCAGTTGGGTGGTTGATGGTGGTTTGTTATATTATTCTACTTTTCTATTTGCATGTAGCTTTCCAATTTTCCTTTTTTTTTTTTTTTTTTTTTGTTTTTTTTTGAGATTGAGTTTTGCTGTGTTGCCCAGGCTGGAGTGCAATCATGCAATCTCCGCTCGGCTCACAGCAACCTCCACCTCCCAGATTTAAGCGAGTCTCCAGCCTCAGCCTCCGGAGTAGCTGGGATTACAGGCGTGTGCCACTACGCCCTGCTAATTTTTGTATTTTTAGTAGAGATAGGGTTTCACAGTGTTGGTCAGCCTGGTCTCAAACTCCTGACCTCAGGTGATTCACCCACCTCAGCCTTCCAAAGTGCGGGATTACAGGTGGGAGCGACCACACGTGGCCAGGTTTTGAATTTTCTATGAAAAGGTCTGAAAATAATGTATGTCTCTAGCCCAAATCTGTTCTGGGTGTGACCTCTGGGCTCATGCATCCCTCTGTCTCCCTGACATTCCTACTTCAGCATCTCCAACCTAATGCAACTCGAATGGGACTCGTGAGTTTCCCAGCTGAGCTCCAATCAGGGCACCAGGTGCTTAAGCCCAAAATGCACATTAGCTTCAGCTTTTATGCATCAAGTGTATCAGGTAGTCTCCAGTTTGTTTTTATCTCTGGAAATATATCTGAAATCCATCTACCCCACCCTACCCCCCATAGCTTTCTGCCACCACTCAAATCCAGGCTCCTTTACATGTCCCCACTTTACTCCTGCCCCTACAGAAATTTCTCCTCATGGCTCCTCAAAGAAAATCTAGACTCCAGCAGAGCCAACCTGTCTCTCCCTCCCTCATCCACGTGGCCTTTGAAGACATAGAGCCACAGAGGAGATCCAAGTGCTGGATGTGGGCTTTTTCATGAGCAACCATTTTGAGGAAAAGGGTCATAAATGTTTTTCTCTTATTTTCATAGCATTGGGAATGGTGCCACCTCCCGAAAATGTCAGAATGAATTCTGTTAATTTCAAGAACATTCTTCAGTGGGAGTCACCTGCTTTTACCAAAGGGAACCTGACTTTCACAGCTCAGTTCCAAAGGTGGGTCTGACCTCACTGTTGACAGGAATGCACGGGAGGAGCCAGCCCTGGGCTGGTCACTGGGCCGGGCCACAGGAGGAAGGGAGTCTGACTGCTGTCACCATATGACTGTGACAGCCTTCAGGGAGGCTCCCTGCTGGCCTTTTTCTGTCTGGGAAATTCCTATGGCCACCTTTTCTCTTTTAGGTTTTCTGGTTGTGATAGTTGATGATTTACTGTTGCTTATCATGCATACGTACATATAATCAGCCATAGCGGTCACCTTGTGTGTGCAGAACCCAGCTCGGTTGTCACAGCTGATGTATTTTAAAAGAAACATACCACTGCTGTCATCTCCGGGTATGAGTAGTATTTCTAGAAGTCAACAATGTTGAGTGGATGCTAACCAAGAAACTGAGGTATGCAAAGCAGTCAGGAAGACCCTGGCTACCATACACTGCCTGTTTCCCTCCGATGGATTAGAACAGCAACAGCACGCCCCAGTGTCGCGCGATGCACATACTTTGCATAGTGAGCACTCAGTTTCTCCGTGGTTTCATCCTGAAATTGAAAGTCAGACAGCTACTGACTGTTAAAAGCCCCATTCTCTGACAGCAGCAGGAGCTGTGAAGGAAGAGTGAGTGTCACCCTAGATGGTCATCTCAGCAGGGGTCTGAACTCCCTCTGCCTCTCCTGCCTGTCAGTGTTTCCCTATGCCTGGCGAAGGAAGTCAGTGCCAGCACTGCCTTGGCAGCCTGCCACCATACGCCACATGCTGGACTGCAGGTGACACACCTTTAGGCCAGGCACAAACAGCAGCAGGAGGCCCAAGGCTGACGAGCCAACACACCTGCTTTTTATGTGACTCAGAAACATACGAAGATAGACAAGTCCTTCAGTGAAGCAGGAGGAAATCTGGTCCCAGATCCCATCAATCCCTGCCTCCCACCCATCCAGCTGTCATTTCCCAAAAATCCCCAAGGCCTGCTGCCTCAGAGAAGTAGAAAGCTGGTCCTTGGCCCTGCATTGCTGGCTTTTGTTTCTTAACTTTTAGTTCAGAATTAGTTCCAGACTAACAGAACATTTCAAAAGGTCACGTATAATACAAAGAATTTCCAGATGGCCTACAACCAGATTCACCAATTTTTAATGTCATTCTGTCCCTCCCTCTTTCTCTCTCATGCCCTCTGTGCTGTAATATTTCAGCGTGTATTTCACAAGAACAAGGATAATCTCTCAAATCACATAGTACAATGAGAAGCTTGTGTCTAATCTACGGTCCATAGTCCAGTTTTGTCACCGTCCCAAGGATGGAAGGAGGCCACTTGATATTTTCCTGATGTGCATGTTCTAGTACTGACTGGCTTTATCATTTGCTTTCTGTGTTTTCTCTACTCCGTCTGGATAGCCACGGAGATTTTACTGTGGAAAATTAACTTTCCTTTCTGTCTGTCTCCCCTGTAGTTTATTTTTTTGTTGTTTTGTGCTATGCTTTTGGTGTTTTTTTTTTTCTTTGAGAAAGGGTCTCACTCTGTCACCAAGGCTGGAGTGCAGTGCTGTGACCTACACTCACTGCAGCCTCTGCCTCCTGGGTTCAAGCAATTCTCCTGCCTCAGCCTCCCAAGTAGCTGGGACTACAGGTGTGTACCACCGTGCCCAGCTGATATTTGTATTTTTAGAAGAGACAGGGTTTCGCCATGTTGGCCAAGCTGGTCTCAAACTCCTGACCTCAAGTGATCCATCTGCCTCAGCCTCCCAAAACACTGGGATCACATGCATGAGCCACCACGCCCAGCCCATGCCGTGCTTTTTTGCCATTATAGTTGAGGCCTTTGGCTTTGCATGTTTATCTTTTACATTAGAGATCCCAGTGACTTCACGAAGTGACTTCATGAGGGTATCCATACCTGGGTTCCTGGTCTCCCCCTCATGGAACTACAGAGTGAGTATGCTATGTGCTGGAGAAAACAAAATATGTGCTGGGCATGTCCTTGGGGAAGATATTTGACCCCAAAAGATGTTACCCTTATGTGGCTCTACAAAAGGCTTGTTTAGAAATTAGCATGAGCGATTGCATAGCACAAACTCTGTTATTTGTGTGCATTGGGGTAGGGTGGCCAGAGCAGGGGCACTTCAGAGGATGTACTGGTGATTTTAATTTAGAAACATCCAAAATAATTGATGTAAATATGAGGAAAAGGTCATATTACCTATTTAGTGTGGAGAGAAATATTTGTACATGCAATAAAAATAACCTAGTGAAGGCCAGGAGCAGTGGCTCACGCCTATAATTCCAGCACTTTGGGAGACCAAGGTGGGCAGATTACCTAAGGTCAGGAGTTCGAGACCAGCCTAGCCAACATGGCAAAACCCCATTTCTACCAAAAACACAAAATTAGCCAGGCATGATGGTGCATGCCTGTAATCCCAGCTACTTGAGAGGCTGAGGCAGGAGAATCACTTGAACCCAGGAGGCAGAAATTGCATCAAGGCAAGGTCGCACCATTGTACTCTGGCCTGGGTGACAGAGTGAGACTGTGTCTCAAAAAAAATAATAACTTAGTGAAAAAGAAGTTATTGCAAAACAACTTTTGAAATATTAAATGTGCTGTACAATTGATGTATTAGTTTAAAAGAAGGAAATGGGCCAGGCGTGGTGGTCCACACCAGTAATCCCAGTGCTTTGGGGGTTCAAGGTAGGATAATCACATGAGGCCAGGCATTCAAGACCAGCTTGGTCAACATAGTAGGGTCTTGTCACTACAATTTTTTTTTTAATTAGCCAGACTTGAGTTGGAAAGAAGGCAAACAGGAGGGAAGAACGGAGGGAGAAGGGGAGGAAAGAATATGTGGCCGCATGTGAGAAAACCCCATTAATGAAATGACCCGTGGATTTTCCAAATGATGGGATGTTAAGCAGCTGTGAAGAAATGATTGACAAATATTTGTGGTATATTAATTGAAAAAATAGCATGAGCCCAATTATCTCTGTCTACTTTTTGCAAAGGATTGTTCTAGGCATCACTAAGAATGCCGTAGGTGTGATATGCTACCTTAAACTATGAAGCCAGACAGATCTGAGTTCAGTCAGGCAGATTTCTTAGGCTCGCCACGCCTGACCCCTACATACATAATAACTGTTGGCTGCTGTTATTTTTATCACCGTCACTTCTTGGAGCAACCAAATTGATTTTGGTACCAGAAGATGCCTTGGGGGACCAATCAAATAGCTCCTCGCTTGTTTATTATTTTATTTTTTGAGATAGCCTCACTCTATTGCCCAGGCTGCATGCCGGGTGCGATCACAGCTCACTGCAGCCTCCACCTCCCAGGTTCAAGCGAACTTACCTCCTCTCAGCCTCCTGAGTAGCTCAGACCACAGGCAGATGCTACCACACCCAGATAATTTTTTGATTTTTTTTACAGAGACAAGGACTCTCACCATGTTGTCCAGGCTGTTGTTCTCAAACTCCTGGGCTCAAGCAAGGCTCTGCTTCGGCCTCCCAAAGTGCTGGGATTACAGGCATGAGCCCCTGAGCCGGGCAGCACCCTACTTTTTGCAGGATGAGAGCCTGGGCTTCCTTTGATTATATGCAGCCAATTACACCTCCTCAGGCTGTTGCGAGCTTAGGTTCAGGAGATTGTATTTCCCTAGCATCCAACACATCCAACAGGCATTTCCAAACGCCACTGCTTTTCTCCACTTCACTTTCTGTCATGCTCCCTTTAGTGACTGCTGTCTGGGCTGGTGTTCTGATTGAGACTAATGCATTGCTTTATAATTTTTCCAGAGTAATTTAAATGATAGTCATTTATAGGACAGGGCAGTCATGGGTCACTTAACAACTGGGGTACATTCTGAGAAACGCATCATTAGACAGTTTTGTTGTGTGAAAATCATACAGTGTATTTGCACAAACCTAGATGGTGTGGCCTGGTATATACCTAGGCTATGTGGTGTAGCCTGTTGCCCTAGGTTGTAAACCTATACAGCATGTTAGGTCTACCGAGTACTGTAGGCAATCGTAACACAATGGTGTTTGTATACAGGCATACCACAAAGATAAGACAATTTGGTTCCAGACTACCACAACAAAGCTAAAACCACAATAGAGTGAGTCACATGAATTTGTTTGTTTCCCTGTGCATGTACAAGTTAGGTTTATAGTGTAGTCCGTTAAGTGTTCGATAGCATTATGTCTAAAAAAATGTGCACAGCCTAATTTTAAAACACTTGTTAAACAGTGCTAGCAATCATCAGAGCCTTCAGCAAGTCATAATCCTTTTGCAGGTGGAGGGTCTTGCCTTGACATGGGTGACTGCTGTCTGGGCTGGTGTTCTGATTGAGACTAATGCATTGCTGTATAATTTTTCCAGAGTAATTTCAATGATAGTCATTTATAGGACAGGACAGTCATGGCTCACTTAACAACTGGGGTACATTCTGAGAAACGCATCATTAGACAGTTTTGTTGTGTGAAAATCATACAACAGGGTAGTGGTTGCTTAGTCGCAGTGACTGTGGCAATTTCTTGAAATAAGATGACAATGACGTTTGCTGCATAAATTAACTCTTCCTTTCTTGACAGATTTCTCTGTAGCATGATGCGTTTTACCCACAGAAGAACTTTCGAAATTGGAATCAATCCTTTCAAACCCTGCTCTGCTCTATCAACTAAGTTCATATAATATTCTAAACCCTTTGTTGTCAGTTCAACAACATTCAGAGCCTCTTCACCAGGAATGACTCTATCTCAAAAACCATGTTCTTTGCTTGTTCATTAGAAACAACTCTTCATCTGTTCAAGTTTTATCCTGAGATTGGAGCAATTCAGTCACATCTTCAGGTTCTGCTTCTAATTCCAGTTATGTTTCCCCCACACATCTGCAGTTACTTCCTCCACTGAAGTCTTGAACCCCTTAAATTATGAGAGTTTGAATCAGCTTCTTCCAAACTCCTATTGATGTTGTATTTTGACCTCCTACAAATCACCAATGTTCTTCATGGAATTTCAAATGGTGAATCCTTTCTGGGAAGTTTTCAATTTACCTTGCCCAGATCCATAGATAAACTCTATCTATGGCAGCTATAACTTTACAAAACATATTTTATTTTATTTATTAAGATGGTGTCTCACTCTGTTTCCCAGGCTGGAGTGCAGTGGCATGATCTCGGCTCACTGCTGCCTCCACCTCTTGGGTTCAAGTGATTCTCTCCCGCCTCAGCCTCCCAAGTAGTGCCACCACACCTGGCTAATTTTTGTTTTTGTTTTTGTTTTTGTTTTTTGTAGTAGAGTCAAGGTTTCACCATGTTGGCCAGACTGGTCTCAAACTCCTGACTCAAGTGACTCGCCCCCCTCGGCCTCCCAAAGTGCTGGGATTACAGGAGTGAGCCACTGTGCCTAGCTTCAAAATAGATTTCTTAAATAATAAGATTTGAGAGTCAAAATGACTCGATCCTTGGGCTGCAGAATGGATGTTGTGTTAGCGGGATAAAAACAGCATTCTTCTTCTTTTAAATGTCCATCAGAGCTCTTGGGTAACCAGGTACATTGTCAATGAGAGGTAATATTTGAAAGAAAACTTCATCCTGAGCAGTAGGTCTTAATAATGGACTTAAAAGTATTCAGTAAACCATGCTGTAAATAGATGTGCTGTCATCCAGGCTTTGCTGTTCCATTTGTAGAGCACAGAGTAGATTTAGCATAATTTTTATGAGCTCTAGGATTTTCAAAATGGTAATCAAATGTTGGCTTCAACTTAAAGTCACCAGCTACATTAGCCATTAACAAAAGTCAGCCTGTTCTTTCAAGCTTTGAAGCCAGACATTGACTTCTCCTCTGTAGCTATGAAAGTCCTAGATGACATCTTCTTTTAATAGAACGTTGTTCCATCTACGTTAAAAAATCTGTTTTTTAGAGTAGTCATCTTCATCATGTTAGCTAGATTTTGGCTGGATCTTCTGGGTAACTGGCTGCAGCTTCTCCATAGCACTTGCCGCTTCACCTTGCACTTTTATGTTATGGAGATGGCTTCTGTTCTTAAACCTTATGAACCAACCTCTGCTAACTTCCAACTTTTCTTCTGCAGCATCCTCACCTCTGTCAGCCTTCACAGAATTGGAGTATTGAGGGCTTGCTCTAGATTAGATGTTGGCTTAAGGGAATGGTGTAGCTGGTTTGATCTGCTACCCAGACCACTGAGACTTTCTCCATATTACCAATAAGGCTGTTTTGCTTTCTTATCATTCATGTGTTCACTGGAGTAGCACTTTCAGTTTCCTTCAAGAACTTTTCCTTTGCATTCACAACTTGGCTGTTTGGCCCAAGAGGCCTCTTGTGACCTTCACTATGCTTCCTCACTAAGCTTACTCATTTCCAGCTTTTGGAATAGGAAGGCCCAAAGAGAGAGACAGGGGAATGGCCGGTGGGTGGAGAAGTCAAAACACACACATGTACTGATTAATTTCACTGTTTTATATAGTGTGGTCCATGGTGCCCCAAAACAATTACGATGGTAACATCAAAAATCACTGATCACAAATCACCATAACAGATATAGTAATGATGAAAAGGTTTGAAATATTGCAAGAACTACCAAAATGGGACATAGAGACCTGAAGTGAGCATGTGCTGTTGGAAAAATGGCACCAATAGGCTTGCTCAATGCGGGGTTGCCTCAGGCCTTCAATTTGTAAAATTCAGTATCTGTGGAGTACAATAAAGCAAATCACAATGAAACGAGGTATGTGTGCATCTAAATGTATTTAAACATAGAAAAGGTACAGTGTAAATAGAGTATCATTATCGTAGGACACCACCGTTGTACATGTGGTCTGTCATTGACAGAAATGTCATTACGCGGCACAGGACTTTATTGAAAATCATTGTAATATGTTTATTTTGGTAAATCTATGTAAATCAATGTCTCATGAATCACATGCCCCCATTTTCAAAAATATATAATCAAGGAAAGAAGCTTTCTTGGTCAAGGATGCTGACTGCTCAACCCCTTGGAGAGGCCTGTAGTCATTAGGATGTTCAAGTCTCTGAGAAGTTCTCTTTTGAAGACACGTATTTCTATGTCTAACAGAGTTTTCTTCTGCAAATTAAATACCAGTCAGCCTCGGGGAGACTGAAGCTAGAACTCTCCTGATTTACCTCTTTTTGATTGTGTAGTTACAGGACGTTCCAAGATATATGCGTGAGTACTACCTCGATGGAATGTGATTTCTCAAGTATTTCCAAGTACGGTGACCACACCTTGAGAGTCAGGGCTGAATTTGCAGATGAGCATTCGGACTGGGTCAACATCACCTTCTGTCCTGTGGATGACAGTGAGCCCTTCTGTTTTCCCTTTCTTTGCGATGTCATCTCGCCTTGGCTTTTTTCCACATTGGTTGGTCCATCAACAAGAATTCTTTGAGGGCCCACAAATGGATGGCCTTGCACAAGGGGCTTAAGGAATCTAATAGAGTTGTATCCCTAAAGAAATCCATGGGAGAGACAGCAAAGGATAGGCACAGCATCAATACAACAATAACATATAAATCTAATATCTTCAGTGCCTCGAGGATGTGAATGTGTTGGGGCCATGGGGCCAGTGCTGTTAAGGAAAAGTTCTGGAAGGATGCAGATGAATTTTCTAGAAGGAAGTCAGTATGGAATTATGACTTAAAGAAATATAATGCAGTAGGCAAAAGAATGGAGGCAGGTACAGAGATGGAAAATCTGATGCAGGCAGCCAGCTTGCCCAGAGCAAAGGACAGAGGGAGGGATAGGGCTGATGGCAGCTGGGTTGGGTCAGACTGGTTGGTCAGCATCAAAAATTGTTCCAGGTTAGGCGGAGATGGCAGTGACCCGAGACTGTACCACTGCACTGCAGCCTGGGCAATAGAGTGAGACTTGGTATAAAAAAAAAAAAAAATTGTTCCCAGGTTAGGTTTGGAGGGTCATGGTGACCCACCAGAGTCCCCTAAATATGAGATAAGCATATTTAAAATATCAGGAATTGAAAACTAATTAAACCATATATTAGCTATGGAGCAAGTAAAGACTGGGGTTAAAAGAACCTGATTTACAAAACTCACATACAGCCCTTCAAAACTCACATAGAGAGAAGCACTAAAAGAACTGTCTCTGGGCTGGGTGCAGTGGTTCACGCCTATAATCCCAGCACTTTGGGAGGCCAAGGCAGGTGAATCACAAGGTCAGGAGTTCAAGACCAGCCTGCCCAAGATGGTGAAACCCCCTCTCTACTAAAAATACAAAATTTAGCCAGGAATGGTGGTGGGTGCCTATAATCCCAGATACTCGGGAGGCTGGGGCAGAGAATTGCTTGCACCTGGGAGGGGAAGGTTGTAGTGAGCCAAGATTGAACCATTGCACTCTGGCCTGGGTGACAGAGTGAGACTCTGTCTCCAAAAAAAAAAAAAAGAATTGTCTCTGGCCAGTCACAGTGGCTCATATCTATAATCCCAACACTTTGGGAGCCTGAGGTGGTGGATCAGTTGAGCCCAGAAATTTTTTTCTTTTCTTTTTTTTTTTTTCTTTTTGAGACAGTCTTGCTTTAACACCCAGGCTAGAGTGCAGTGCCGTGATCACTGGAACCTCCACTTCTGGGATTCAAGTGATTCTTGTGCCCCAGCCTCCTGAGTAGCTAGGACTTCAAGTGCCCGTCACCATGCCCAGCTAAATTTTTTTGTATTTTTAGTAGAGACAGGGTCTCACCATGTGAGCCAGGCTGGCCTTGAACTCCTCAAGTGATCAGCCTGCCTCGGCCTCCCGAAGGGCTGGGATTACAGACATGAGGCACCACGTTTGGCCTTAAGCCCAGGAAATTTGAGACCAGCCTGGGCAAAATGGCAAAACCCCATCTCTACAAAAAAAAAAAAAAAAAAAAAAAAAAAATTAGCCAGGCATGGTGGAGTGTGCTTGTAGTCCCTGCTACCTGGGAGGCTGACATGGAAGAGTCACCTGAGCCTGGGAAGTCCAGGCTGCAGTGAGCCATTATCACACTACTGCACTCCAGCAGCCTGGGTGACAGAGTGAGATCTTGTCTCAAAAAAAGCACTGTCTCTATGTGGGGAGGGGTCTTTATGCCAGTCAGTCCCCTGCTCTGGACCCCTGTGGCCCCAGTTACATCCTCCCTGGTAGAGAATGAAGCTAGGATGCCTTTCTTCCCTTTCCCAATTCCATCCCAAGCCTAGGCAAAACTTCTTACTTTTGGAATCATAAATTATCAAAGTTAGATTATCTTTTCTAAGGGTACCTTTACAAAAACAAAGAAAAAAGGAACACAAAAGTAAGTTTCACAATAGTTAAAAGGACAAGGTTTTGCTCCTATAATTGCTAACTGGCTTACCATGTCCTAACTTGTCCCAAATTCTGTTAGCTCCCATCCGTGGAAGTTCCCTTGAGAACCTAGCTAGGTACAACATGGTTGAGCAGCTTGTCAAAAGGTCACACAGATGATGAGTGGCCAAGCAAGGATTCAGACCCAGGCTCTGGCATCCATATCTTAGCAACTACTACCCAATATTGGAGATTTGCCTCTTGAAGTCTATATATTTTAGTGACAGGAAACTGCTTCCGGGAGTCATGCATAGCCTATTTATACTTGCTTTGGAAAAGCATGTAACAAGTTCTCTCATCTGGTTTTCAGACAAGCACTTTAGAGTGGTAGAAGCAGGTTTATTAACAGCCCTGAAAAAGTAACCGGCAGCCAAAGAAGAATACAGGACGACTCAGACACCATGGTTGCCCGGAACCATTTACAAATCATTCCATAGTAACAGCAGCATTCTGAGCACTGAAGCTACAACAGTGAACAAGACAAAATCCCTGCCCTCATGGAGCATATATGTGCTCAGGAAGTCAGACAATAAATAAATAGATACATATTGTATGACAGGTAGTGACTGTGGTTCTTAAGCAAACGAAAGCAAGATAATAGGACAGGAAGTAATGGGAGTTGCACTTCTACATAGAGTGGTAAGATAGTCTCTCCGAAGAAGTAGCATTTGAACGGAGACAAAAATGAAGGAGCCAGCCACATGAATTTCTAGTAAAAGAGCATTCAGAAGGGAAACAGCTTTAGACTTTGTTGGAAATATATATGGTTAATTATATATGTTAAACATGTAAAGGTGACCACTCAAAATAATAAAGATGCCATCTGTAGCTTCCATCCTAGCAAAGGAAATAAAATTCCAGACAACAAAAAGCAGGAAAAAAAAAAGAGGCAAAGACACCAAAAACATAAAATAGAAATTTTAAAAGAAATTCTTATAGAGAATACAAAATGATGTAGTTGGAATGATTCCAAATGTATCAGAAACCACAATAAACGTAAATGAACTAAACTTGATTAATAAAGACAAAGATTATCCGATTTTTTTAAAGAAACTAAATCCAACTATCCTCTTTAGCCATGTCAATCAATGTCATAACATTGATTGACATATCAAATGGTATATCAAAGTAGTTTACTTCCATGAACTAATTGTTTTGCATGGTTATGAAAAATTAATATTGAAATCAAGTTTTTAAAATGTGATTTTTGATTGTCATTTTCCTTGTTCTTATGCTTAGCCATTATTGGACCCCCTGGAGTGCAAGTAGAAGTACTTGCTGATTCTTTACATATGCGTTTCTTAGCCCCCAAAATTGAGAATGAATATGAAACTTGGACTATGAAGAATGTGTATAACTCATGGGCTTATAATGTGCAGTATTGGAAAAATGGTTCTGATGAAAAGGTAAGCTTGGCTAATTGCATTTCAGAGGCTTTCACGTTCTTTGCAGAATCTTGCAAGGTGGCAGCACCTTACGATCTAGAGGACCTAAGGACTGGTTCTCTGTAAGCCAAGAGCTTCCCAGACTGAGGGGTTACTGGCATCTCTGGCTCAAGCTTCCCAGACCCCCAAGGAATATGCGTAGAGCACTTTCAGGACAAAGTCTGCATAGTGACAGCAGACCTTTCCCTCCCTGAAGAGCAGTTGCAGGGGAAGTCACAGCTGAGTCAGAGTTGGCTGGGGACTTGGAGCTGGCTGAATTTATCTCATGACATCAACCCCTGGGTCCCACACACACCACAATTGACAACTATCTCATGACATCAACCCCTGGGTCCCACACACACCACAAATTAGGTATGTCCATGGTCAAGACAGCCACATCCTAGATGCTGGATGCCCAGTGTCACATCTTATCTTTCTGAGCCGTTTCCCCTTGTTGCTCTATTTTTCAGGGGACAATTTCTTTAAAAATATGGGCTTTGAGTCAAAAGATCTGATTGGACTATTGCCTCTGCCACCATGTGGCATTGGTCACATTCTTGACCCCAGCTTCCTCAAGTCTGCACAATGGGCATAATAACTTACTTTATTAATAAAATGAGGATGATGACCTACTTCCTAAGATTGCTGAGGAATTTAATGCAACAATAGGAAATATAAACTCATCCCACTGCTTGGAACATGTATATATGGTCAATACGTGAGCTTTCCTTCCTCTTTGCTAGACATGTTAAGGTTATTTTTATTAATCTTTGGTCAAGGTTTATTCTTATACCTAATGCTTCTGAGCTGAATGCCATTCACAGTCCTAAACTGACATGCGTATGTTATGTACATTATAGTACATACATGCTATCTCTTCCAATTAAATGTTGATTTTACCACTTAGTTCTCAAAGAGTTTGGGATCACCCATGTTATTATCTAGGAAAGCTGTAGTTCAATTTGCATACACATACTGCATAGCCCAAAAAATCTCAAGTTAATTTTTTTCCCCAAAAAAATGTTCCATTAAATGATGCCGTGTCTTAATCCATTCCTGCTGCTACGACAAAATACCACAGTCTGGGTAACTTATAAACAATAGAAATTTAGTTCCTACAGTTCTGGAGGAAAGTCCAAGATCAAGGCACCAGCAGATTCCGCGTCTGGTGAGCACCTGCGTGCTCCGATTCCAAGATGGTGAAAGGCAAAGGGCAAAGATATCAACAGCAGCTCCCTTGCTGCTCTTTTCTAAGGTCACTGATGGCATTCAGGAAGGCTCTGCCCTCATGACTTGCTTGCTTTGGAAAGCCTCCACCTCTGAGTCCTGTCATATTGGCAATTAAGTTTCAACATATAAATTCTGATACTCACAATCACTGATCAAATGCAGGCATCGCTGCTAAGCCCTGGGTCATAAAGTTAAGAGCAGATGGCTCCCCTCTAGGAGCTAGCAACAGACCTCAGCTAAGGATCCAGTTTTACAGTAAGCAGGGTCAGGTGCCTCCTGAGGCCACTGCAATGCAGACTCCACTCCATGTTTAGTTTCTTATCTCAAACATCCCCACAGCACGGACAACGTCTTACACATGTCTCCTCTCCCTTTGGCCAGTCGTGTGGCAGCCTTCAGTGTGACATACCAAGTGTGGCAAGGCTGCTCTCACCTGTGATGCCACCACCAATACAGGTTTAGTTGCTGTTGCTGTCATTGTTGTTTTGAGGCAGAGTCTCACTCTCTCATCACCCAGGCTGGAGTGCAGTGGTGTGAGCTTGGCTCACTGCAACCTCCGCCTCCTGGATTCAAGTGATTCTCCTGCCTCACCCCCACCACACCCGGTTAATTTTTGAATCAATACAGGTTTATATGGTTCCCCTCTAGAATGCAGAAATTCCTGAGACGGTGCCAGCCTTAGGTCCCTAGACTCATAGCGTGAAGGGCTTTCGGGAATTCTTTCTTCCTGTTGGGAGAAAGCAAGAAGATAAAAGCAGAAGTGAAAAAGCCCCAGTGGGGACTGAGACGGTCCCTCTACTGCTATGCCACCACCTTACCTGCTTGCCTCTGAGTTTAATCTTTGAAATAATTGCATTGTAAGGTTTTAGAGGCATTGGACTTCTGGAACTGCAAGCCACCATTTTTTCAGTTGTTGCTTTGATTTGGTTTTGTCTTTTAATTTACTTATTAGAAAGTTAACACATTTTCTTCATATATTCCATGAGTCTAATTCAATTATTGATCCCCATGGGCTTAGCTTCTCATGCAATAAAAACATATAGGCAAGCTGTCAACAACCCCAGCCCCAAAAGAGAAATAACCAATTGCGGCCGGGCACAGTGGCTCACACCTGTGATCCCAGCACTTTGGGAGGCCAAGGCAGGCAGATCACCTGAGGTCAGGAATTCAAGACCAGCCTGGCCAATGTGGTAAAACCCCGTCTCTGCCAAAAATACAAAAATTAGCCGGGCATGGTGGTGCGTGCCTGTAATTCCAGCTACTTAGGAGGCTGAGGCAGGAAAAATCGTTTGAACCCAGGAGGTTGCAGTGAGCCAAGATCACACCACTGCACTCCAGCCTGGGCAACAAGAGTGAAACTCCATCTCGAAAAATAATAATAATAATGATGGTTATTTATTTATTTTTGAGACAGAGTATGGCTCTGTCACCCAGGCTAGAGTGCAGTGTGGCATGATGCCGGCTCACTGCAGTTTCCACCTCCCAAGTTCAAGCAATTCGTATGTGCCACCATGCCCAGCTAATTTTTTGTATCTTTAGTAGAGATGGGGTTTTGCCATGTTGGCTAGGCTGGTCTCAAAACTCCTGACCTCAAGTGATCTTCCCACCTCAGTCTCCCAAAGTGCTGGGATTACAGGTGTGAGCCAACACACCCGGCCTGCTTTATCTTTTTTAACAAAGAATTGGATGGCTTGCGTGTCATTTAAGCTGGAGAATTCAGGAACCGAGGTGGTTTGTTGGTATCACAGTCAGTCCTTGGTTCATCTCTTGAGTGGCGTGAGGGTACCCTGACCTGGGAAGAGTACCTGCTACCTGCTTCTTCCTATTTTAAGTCTAAAACAGCGATTATAATTGGTAAATGTGGGAGAAAAAAAAAGTACTGTCCTTTCACTGCTGAGTCGTGTCCTTATTTTCGTCTTCATTACTAGTTTCAGATTACTCCTCAGTATGACTTTGAGGTCCTCAGAAACCTGGAGCCATGGACAACTTATTGTATTCAAGTTCAAGGGTTTCTTCCTGATAGGAACAAAACTGGGGAATGGAGTGAGCCTGTCTGTGAGGAAACAAACAATGACGGTGAGTCCTGAGATGCGCCTCGGCTAAGCATCCCAAACAGCTTTATAGACGCCTGCCCTAGACCTGATTGCATCTGACTCAGACTCCAGCGCAGTTGAGAAATCTGTGGCCCTGACGTTGTCTCTCAGCCCTGACTGATCAGTTTCATGCTGGGAAGGAGACACAGGTTTGTCCAGTAGCCCTCCTTGCCCCTGGGCATTGCTCCTGCTCCAGCCTTCACTACTCAAAGCCCCAGGTCCCTGGGGAGCAAAGGTTCTGGTTCTAGGGCAGGAGGGAGAAAAGCAGAGCTCAGTGCGGAAGAAAAAAAAAAACTCAAGGCTAAATGCCAGCGAATTGCCAGAGGGAGAGAATGGGAGGAAGGAAAGGTGCATTTCCAGTTTTGGAATATTGGAGAGTGATTGAAATTCTGGGATGTGCATCCTGGACTTTAGGAAGGCTACTTTTAAAAGGGTTAGGAAGAAGAAATGATGCACCTGACTAATAATAACAGGACTGAAGATGCCCTAAGAAATGAAACTCTACCCGCCTGTTTGAGTTTCAGCACTTTGGGAGGCTGAGGCGGGTGGATTCACCTGAGGTCAGCAGTTCGAGACCAGCCTGGCCAACATGGTGAAATCCCATCTCTACTAAAAATAAAAAATCAGCCGGGTGTGGTGGCACATGTCTGTAATCTCAGCTACTCAGGAGGCTGAGGCAGGAGAATTGTTTGAACCCGGGAGGCGGAGGTTGCAGTGAGTCAAGATCACGCCATTGCACTCCATCCTGGGCAACAGACTGAGACTTCATCTCAAAAAAAAAAAAAGAAAAATGAGGCCGGGTGCAGTGGCTCACTCCTGTAATCCCAGCACTTTGGGAAGCTAAGCCCAGGAGTTTGAGACTACCCTGGCCAACACAGTGGAACCCACGTCTCTATAAAATATTTTAAAAATTAGCTGGACATGGTGACACATGTCTGCAGTCCCAGCTACCCGGGAGGCTGAGGTGGGAGGATCACTTGAGCCCTGGAGGTCGAGGCTGCAGTGAGCCATGTTCATGCTACCACACTTCAGGCTGGACAACAGAACGAGACTCTATCTCAAAGATGAAAAGGAATAAAGGGAGAATGAGGGAGTAGAAAGGAGTGCGTGGGGAGTTGAGCAGAATCAAGGAAGTGAAAAAAATTTTTAATCAACTAAGGAGGCTGGTCAGTGCCAGGAGGCTGGTCAGTGCCAGGAGGCTGTCTGTGTCTGGACTGGCATTTCTCAAGGCTAAGTTCCTACCCTCCCACAGGGACGGGGAGACAGAGGCCCTGTCCTTCCTGATGATTTCAGAAGAATGGCTCTCAGAACACTGAGAAAAATGTCCCCAGGTTGTGGGAGATACATGTATGTCTCAAAGGCACAGAGGAAGGATTCCATTGCAGGCCCCTTTTGATAAATTCTCTCTGAAACAGAGGTCAAGGCCTCTCTTCAGGGGCTGGAAGAACAAATGGTACATGCCTTAGACAGCCTGGGGTTTTTCCAGACCAGAACTCAGGGGGTTGGGTCATCTCAGGAATGTGACCTTGGCCTGCGGGACACCATGCTGGGGTGTGGCCAAGTCTCTTAGCACAGGGGTTTGTCTTGGCTTTGGTTTTTGTTTTTGAGGCAGGGTTCCACTCTGTCACCCAGGTGACAGTGCAGTGGTACAACCATAGCTCACTTGCAGTCTTGACCTCCCGAGCTCAAGTGATCCTCCCACCTCAGACTTTCAAGTAGCTGGGGCTACAGGCGTGCACCACTACATCCAGCTAATTTTTAAAAACAGTTTTTTGTTGTAGAGAAGGGGGTCTTACTGTGTTGCCCAGACTGATCTCAAACTCCTGGGCTCAAGCAATCCACCTCGGCCTCCCAAAGTGCTGAGATTATAGATGTGAGCCACCACACCTGGTCTAGTGCAGGGGTTTGGATAGATTTGTTTGTGCAGAAAGTTTCTGTCTTTCTCAATATAAAATGCGATGGTGCCTGTGTTTAACTCAGGCTCAGGGGTCCAGGGGAGCCTCGCTTACTGCTTGAAGGCAGAAGTGGTATCTACAGACCAGGGAGGCCCGTTGATACACTGCCAGCAGGCACAGTGGATCAGAATTCTTCCTTGTTATTCTTTTGATGTATATCAGCAATAATTCCAGAAACCAAACTTTAGCGAAGATAGGAAAGGGATGAAACTCTTTGAAAACCTCTGGGTCCTCCAACCAGCTGCTGTGTTTCTGAGACATCTCCCAAGATGAATGTACAGGCCCTGTTCTCAGGGATTATGGTGGTTAAAATGCCCTTGGGATCACTGTGACAAGGATGTAACATGCCCGTTATCCCTGGCAGAAACGGTCCCCTCCTGGATGGTGGCCATCATCCTCATGGCCTCGGTCTTTGTGGTCTGCCTGGCACTCCTCGGCTGCTTCACCTTGCTGTGGTACATTTACAAGAAGACAAAGTATGCCTTCTGCCCTGGGAATTCTCTTCCACAGCACCTGAAGGAGGTAGGTAGGATGGAGTGAGATGTGGATTTGAAAACTTTGATTGGACAGAGCTTTGCTTTCAAGTTAAGGCTGTTCAATTCCAGACATGTTTTCCAGGAAAAAAACACATCTTGTGTGTTGGTCCATTCTCTTGTAACCATTTCAAAGACATGTGAGGTCAGGGAACAGCCCTGAGGAAAGGGACGCAGGTTTGTCCAGTAGCCCTCCTTGCCCCTGGGCATTGCTCCTGCTCCAGCCTTCACTACTCAAAGCCCCAGGTCCCTGAGGAGCAAAGGTTCTGGTTCTAGGGCAGGAAGGGGAATAGCAGAGCTCACTGTGGAAGAAAGAAAAGCCTCGAGGCTAAATGCCAGCGAATCACCAGAGGGAGAGAATGGGAGGACGGAAAGGTGCATTTCCAGTTTTGGAATATGTGAGAGTGATTGAAATTCTGGGATGTGTATCCTGGACTTTAGGAAGGCTACTTTTAAAAGGGTTAGGAAGAAGAAATGATGCACCTGACTAATGATAACAGGACTGAAGACGCCCTAAGAAATGAAACTCTACACGCCTGTAATCCCAGCACTTTGGGAGGCTGAGGTGGGTGGATCACCTGAGGTCAGCAGTTTGAGACCAGCCTGGCCAACATGGTGAAATCCCATCTCTACTAAAAATAAAAAATCAGCCGGGTGTGGTGGCACATGTCTGTAATCTCAGCTACTCAGGAGGCTGAGGCAGGAGAATTGTTTGAACCCGGGAGGCAGAGGTTGCAGTTAGCCGAGATCACACCATTGTACTCCAGTCTGGGCAACAGAGCGAGATTTCATCACAAAAAAAAAAAAATGAAACTCTAGATAGTTACCGACACTTGAAAATGAAAAGATGCCAAGCCCAGACCCAAAAGGAACTGCCTTTGGTCCCATTTCCCAGGAAGCAGACTCTAAGACAGAGATTTGCATTCAAAAGGCTTAATGGGGAACATCCTTGGGAATAGCACCCTAAGGGAGTGAAAGTAGCCAGATGAGGAAGAGAGAGAGTTGAGCTGTCACACAGGCACAGCAGAGGCCTCAGCCAATCCCATGTGGCATCTCAAGTTGGGGTGGCCCTCTAGAGATGTCCCAAGCCAAGGCAAGAGGGATGGGCATGTAAACTCCACATTGGCCATGTGCTGGATGTAGGCTACCCCCAAGAAGAGGGCCTAAGCTAGAGTGAGGGGTGAGACATCAGCAGCCAGGAGCTAGGAGCATGAGTGCCTCGTTCCTGAAGGCACCACAGCATCTATTATAGTCACCCTGGAACCACTTGGATCTACTGGAAGCAGCTCCTCGAGATCTAAGTTGATCTCATTTCCTGGGGAGGGTAAGAGGAGGAAGGTGAGTGGACTGCACTCCAGCCCCCACTGCTGCCGCTGCTCTCGGGACCACAAAGGAAAGCTTTTGGGCTCTATCCTCTGCTGGCCCTGACGGTCCACTCTCCTCTCAGGAAGGAGCCTGTGCCAATCAGCCTGATGATGTGATTGGATGACCCAGCCCTCATCCCAGAGAGGACTGAGCCTCTGGTCCCCAGGCCTGTCTCAGGCAATGGCCTGTCTCTGCACTTGTCAATTTGCTGTCAGAATCAGGCCAAGTAAAAAATATTTTAGAAGGCCAGGCACAGTGGCTCACCCGTGTAATCCTAGCACTCTGGGAGGCTGAGACAGGCTGATCACCTGAGGTCAGGAGTTCAAGAGCAGCCTAGCCAACATGGCAAAACCCCATCTCTACTAAAAATACAAAAATTAGCTGGGTGTGATGGCAGGCGCCTATAATCCCAGCTACTCAGGAGGCTGAGGCAGGAGAATCGCATGAACCCTGGAGGTGGAGGTTGCAGTGAGCCACGATCACACCACTGTACTCCAGCCTGAGCAACAGAACAAGACTCTGTCTCAAAATTTAAAAAATTTTTTAAATTATATATTTTTAGGTTCTGTTAGCGAGAAATAAAATCAAAATTATGTAGGCCCTTATGTAACCACTTAAATGTAATCATTTAAAAACTCTAAAGCCATTCTTGACTCATGGGCCATATAAAAAAACAGGTGTCATTGTATCTCTGTGGCTCTCCGCTGTCTGTGACACATGCTGTCAGTGGGAGTTAATATGGGAAGCAAAAATCTCCATGCTGCAGCTACCCCCGCAGGTCCCTCCACGTGCTTCTTCCCCAGACATCCTGTCCCTAACCTTCCAGGCTTCCTTCCCCCGGGCTCCTGACCACCAGCCTCACCACTGACTCCTGCCTGGGATCCCACAGCTGGCCTGATCTTGGGCCACTTTTCTTTCCGAATAAAGGGGATGAGCAGACACACGACCAGAGCCCCGCCCACGGGGAGACTTCCTCCCTGACTGAGGCTTTAGTGCAGCAGCGGGCCACTTTTGGTGTGTGCCCACGTACCATGCTAACCTTGCCATGAAACCGGGCCAGCCCTTCCTTCTTCAGCTGGACATAAGTACCTGTCCCCCCATGGGGTGATCATGTGGGCAGACACAGACTGTGTGACAGGGGTAGAGAGCACAGGTGCCTGAACCACCTGCATGTGGCCGACATGCACCTTCTGACCCCCACTCAGGACCTGCTGGGTCTCAGGCCTCATGATGGTCACTTCTGGGCAGCACGATCACCTGGTCTGTGTCTGCCAGGTCCTCATAGTGCTCCAGGGGCTGCTTTTTCAAACAGGCTATAATTATCTGCTGCAGATGGCCTGGCCTGACCCCAGAACTCTCTTATCTATGTTGCAGCTCTCCCCTTGGGATTTGCCATAAACCCCACCCAACATCTTGCCCCACCCCAGACACTTCAAGGATGTGCCTAGTCACCCATTCCTCAGATGGAACTCGCAGGCCATCGCTGGTGGCTAATGCACCAGTCCTGAGGTGTACACAGGGCCACAGGCTCCACGTTCCGGACCTCCTGCAGGCCCCTTTCCTGCTCTGGGCCCCTCAGTGCCAGCAGCCTCCTGTGTCGTTTGACAAACACATTGGAGCAGTATTCCCAGGCGTGGAACAAGCTGCCTCCAAAAGCCTAAGAGGCCTACACAGCACAGTACTTCCTTCCTAGTGGTTGGGGGTGAGATACAGCCATCAGTTCTTTAAAGAGGATATCCTGGCATGCCCCACTCCAAGGGTCCCCTCAAATTTCACAGATGTGGCAGGCCCCTGAATCTCTACAGGGTGAGTTTCTCACCCTCTGCCATGTGTGGGCCTCACCAATGCCTTGCCACTTCCTGCATGTCTGGTCTTATTAATGTACTATTGTGATAGCTAATATCAGGCACTTGTCCCTGCACCACCAGTCAGCTGATGCAGGCTGCCTCTGGAAGGGCACAGAGCCTTGGCTGAGACAACTGCCTGGGAAGGGTACAACCTAGAAAGAGACAGCTGTGAGCCATTTCAGCCTCCGATATTCCTCCAAGCGCCTCCACCACAAAGGGGGTCTGGGCACCACAGCACAGTGTCTCCTCTGAATGGAAAGTGGAGCACAGGACCATAGGCAAGTGTTTCAGAGTGGCTAGAACCCCCTATAGAGAGTGCCAGGCCAGGCACAGTGGCTCACGCCTGTAATCCCAGCACTTTCGGAGGCTGAGGCCGGCAGATCACTTGAAGTCAGGAGTTCGAGACCAGCCTGCCCAACATGGTGAAACCCTGTCTCTACTAAAAATACAAAAATTAGCCACGCCTATAATACCAGCTACTTGGGAGGCTGAGGCACAAGAATTGCTTGAACCCAGGAGGCGGAAGTTACGGTGAGCAGAGATCACACCATTGCACTCCAGCCTGGGTGACAGACCGAGACTCGATCTCAAAAAAAAAAAAGTGCCAACAAGACTGCAGCACCAGGATGAAGAAAGAATCCTGTATGCACTTTTGAGAAACCACAGCTGCAGCAGGAAGAACAAAGAATGAGGGTGGGCCCCTTGCTTGGGTAAAAGGTGTTTAGTTGACTGAGAACTAAGAGGAAGCAAAATGATTCAGCTGCTATTTTTGCTTCTTGCTTCACTGTTAAAGCAACTGGTCAGACAGGAAAGAACAGATGGAATGAACAGTCGGGGCCTGTCGGCAGGAGCTCTCACCTCCAAGTCTAGAAGATGAAGACTTGATGGGGAGCCAGTCCCTATAAGAGCTAAGAAATCAGAGAAGTGGGTGGAGAGTGCTGGAGAAGAGCCAGACAACTATGGGGCGGTTTGGGGTCCTCACATCATGACTTCCTCCAGCTTGACTCCTAATGTATAGAATCCATTAACCAGGACCCAGGGGGTTATTTAGAGTTTAGGGAGATTTGCTGGGAATAGAGACTTGGAGTTAAAAAAGCACTAGGGGCCGGGCACGGTGGCTCACGCCTGTAATCCCAGCACTTTGGGAGGCCAAGGTGGGTGGATCATGAGATCAGGAGTTTAAGACCAGCCTGGTCAAGATGGTGAAACCCCGTCTCTACTAAAAATACAAAAATCAGCCTATAATCCCAACTACTCGGGAGGCTGAGGCAGGAGAATCACTTGAACCTGGGAGGCAGAGGTTGCAGTGAGCCAAGATTGTGCCACTGCACTCCAATCTGGGCATCAGAGTAAGACTTCGTCAAAAAATAAAAAGCACTAGGGAGATTCATCCTACACTCATTTATTGAGCCAATGGCGTGTGGGTATATGTGTGTGTGCTGTCAACCAGGGGCATAGTTGTCTACCAGGAGACTCATCTGATACTGCTTTCTTGAGATTTGCTACACCTTCCTTTGATCTCTCCTGTCCCCATTATCCCAGGAAAATCCAGGGTAGCTTCCAGCCCATTCTCATTAATCCACTGGATCTGAAGTTTAGAGAGGTTCCCCTTCCCTCCAGGATTCTCGTTAATCCACCGGATCCGAAGTTTAGAGAGGTTCCCTTCCCCCCAGCATTCTCATTAATCCACTGGATCCGAAGTTTAGAGAGGTTCCCTTCCCTCCAGCATTCTCGTTAATCCACTGGATCCGAAGTTTAGAGAGGTTCCCTTCCCTCCAGGATTCTCGTTAATCCACCGGATCCGAAGTTTAGAGAGGTTCCCTTCCCCCCAGCATTCTCATTAATCCACTGGATCCGAAGTTTAGAGAGGTTCCCTTCCCTCCAGCATTCTCGTTAATCCACTGGATCCGAAGTTTAGAGAGGTTCCCCTTCCCTCCAGGATTCTCGTTAATCCACTGGATCTGAAGTTTAGAGAGGTTCCCTTCCCCTCAGCATTCTCATTAATCCACTGGATCTGAAGTTTAGAGAGGTTCCCTTCCCTCCAGCCTCCTCCTTCACTCAACAGAGGAGCCCCCCATCTCCCTCCGTCAGCTGTTCAAGACCCACAAGGGGAAATCCTGACAGATCCATGCCAAGAGGTAGTGCAGCCACCCTCAAGTTCATTAAGCCATATCAGAAGGCTGAGTGTAGAAGTGACACTAAGAGGGGTTCCATTTGGAGGGGAGGGGTTCAAAATGCCAAGCTTTAAAGAAGGAGGTTCTCCATCTAATTATGAAGATTAAGAGCATCGGTGGACCTAGGAAGATGAAGAATGGAGAGAGAGAAACCATAGAGATTTCAGGAAACATCTAGGGGCATCTTCATTGTTCAAAGCATCGGAGAGACAGATTATCAGACTGTGGTCCCTGCCCTTAAGTAGTCCTGGCTACAGGTGACACAAAACTGAAAAGAGTTGGTGTCCATTGAAAGCGAGAACACAGCTCTGTCTGACAGAACATATCGCAAGCCATGTCTATTTTAGATTTGCTAGTAGCCACATTTTTTAAAAGTCAAAAGAATGGCCTGGTGTGGTGGCTCACACCTGTAATCCTAGCACTTTGGGAGGCCAAGGTGGGCGGGTCACCTGAGGTCAGGAATTTGAGACCAGCCTGGCCAACATGGCGAAACCCCATCTCTACTAAAAATACAAAAATTGGCCAGGCATGGTGACGCACACCTGTAATCCCAGCTACTTGGGAGGATGAGGCACAAGAATCACTTGAACCTGGGAGACGGAGGTTGCAGTGAGGCAGGATCACGCCACTGCACTCCAACCTGGGCAACAGTGTAAGACTCTGGCTCACAAAAATAATTAATTAATTAAAATAAAATCCCATTATTGGCCAGGCATAGTGGCTCATGCCTGTAATCTCAGCACTTTGGGAGACTGAGGTGAGAAGATCACTTGAGCCCAGGAGTTGGAGACCAGCCTGGGCAACTTGGTGAGACCTCATCTCTAATCTCTGCCAAAAAAAGAAAAATTAGCTGGGCATGGTGGCACATGCCTATAATCCCAGCTACTCAGAAGTCTGAGGTGGAAGAATCACTTGAGCCCAGAAGGTCAAGGCTGCAGTGAGCCATGATCACACCAGGCACTTCAGCCTGGTGACCCAGCAAGACCCTGTCTCAAAAAATAAAATAACATTTTCTAGCCAGGATTTTTTTCTGTGAAAAAAAAAATCTGTAAACCCCAAAAAAGAAATGGAGAAAATTAATCATTAACTATCCTCTTTCTCTCCACAGTTTTTGGGCCATCCTCATCATAACACGCTTCTGTTTTTGTCCTTTCCATTCTCGGATGAGAATGATGTTTTTGACAAGCTAAGTGTCATTACAGAAGACTCTGAGAGTGGTAAGCAGAATCCTGGTGATGGCCGCAGCCTCAGGACCCTGCCTGGCCAGGGATCCCAGAGCTAGGCTCTGATAAGGAAACACACTCGGCTGGGCACAGTGACACACTCCATCTCACATGCCTCAGTGAGGAATCAGGGTGGCAAATGAGGGCCAAGACCACCTGAGCCAGCCCCACATCTGGAACTCCTAGACCCTGGACTTATCTAAGAAACCAAAGAGCTACATTTTAAAGGCTCTCTTGGCAAAAATACTCCATTTGGAAACTCACTGCCTTATAAAGGCTTTCACAATGTTTTCAAAAGTTGGCCACTGAGAATGTAATTTTCAGCCTCTTATATCACTAAAAAAGGATCATGTTTTAATTGTGAGAAACAGGGCCAAGCATAGTGGCTAACGCCTGTAATCCCAGCATTTTGGGAGGCCAAGGCAGGCGGATCACCTAAGGTCAGGAGTTTGAGACCAGCTTGGGCAAGATGGTGAAACCCCATCTCTACTAAAAATACAAAAATTAGCTGGGTGTGATGGTGCGCACCTGTGATCCCAGCTACTTGAGTGGCTGAGGTGGAAGAATTGCTTGAACTAGGTGGAGGAGGAGGTTGCAGTGACTCAAGATCACAGCACTGCTCTCCAGCCTGGGTGCAGAGTGAGGCTCATCTCAAAAAAGAAAAAATTGTGAGAAACAGAAATATTTAAAATGAGGAATAAGAATGGAGATTTAACATTCTACTAGATTATGGATAGACTGATCTGAAAATCAACCTCGACTCAAGGGTGGTCAGCTCAATGCTATACAAAATATGGATTTTTGAATTCTTTAGAGTACTTTGACTGAATTTATTTTTCTACCTATATATGTTTTATATGCTACTGGTGCTCCATTAAAGTTTTACTCTCCATTGCACTGTATGTGTTCATGATACTACTTGTGTGTAATTGTTAGATACTGAAAAAGTCTCTAGTTTGCCATCTTGACGTCCACTCCTTCCACAAGTACTTCCTAGACCCTGCCTGCTGTCAGCCAGGCACTGTTCTAGGTACCAGGTCTGGGTCATCTGGGAACTCTCAGTCAAAGCTTCAAAAACTAAAAGGTGCAGTCGAGGGCCAGATCTGTTATTAAAAAAAAATAAAAAGTATAGTTGTAGAAGTTTAAAAAGCCAGAGGACAGGCTTAACAGCAGATTAGACACAGCTGAAGAGAGAATCAGTGAACTAAGCAAAAAAGGGAGTCTCCAGCTACAATGGCTCACACCTGTAATCATAGCACTTGGAATGCTGAAGTGGGAGCATCACTTGAGCCCAGGATTTGAGACCTTTCTGGGCAACATGGTGAGACCCCCTTCTTTACAAAAAAATTTTAAAATTAGGCGTGGTAGCATGCATCTATAGTCCCAGCTACTCAGGAGGCTGAGGTGGGAGGATAGCTTGAGCCCAGGAGGTCAAGACTGCAGTGAGCGATGTTCATGCAGTTGCACTCTGGCCCTGCCTGGGTGATGGAATGAGATCCTGTTTCAAAAAAAAAAAAAAAAAAAAAAAGGGAAGGAAGGGAAGTGTATTAGTCAGGGTTCTCTAGAGAAACAACCAATAGAATGAGGATAGAGATTTCTTTTAAGGAACTGTGGAGGCTGGCAAGTTCAAAAACAGGGCAAAGCAACAGGCTAGAGACCCAGGGAAGAGTGGATGTTTCAGCATGAGCAAAAGCAGTCTGGAGGCAGAATTAACTCTTCTCAAGGGACCTCAGGTGTTTTTTCTCTTAAGACCTTCCTTCAAGTGACAGAAGCAAAACTCACCCACCTTATGGAGCGTAATCTGCTCTACTCAAAAATCTATGAATTTAAATGTTAATCTCATCTTTTAAAATACCTTCACAGCAACATCAAGACTAGTGTTTTACACACTCAGTACCATGGTCTAGCTAAGCTGACACATAAAATTAACCATCATAGGGAGGGGACATCTGTGATTGCTTTCTTGAAGATTTTTTCAATGTTTGCTGCATGTATATAAAAATAAAACTTGGCTGGGCACAGTGGCTCACCTGCCTTCGGAGGCTGAGCCAGGTGGATCACCTGAGGTCAGGAGTTTGAGACTAGCCTGGCCAACATAGTGAAACCCCATCTTTACTAAAAATACAAAAATTAGCCAGGCATGGTAGTGCACACCTGTAATCACCACGACTTTGGAAGCTGAAGCAAGAGAATCTCGGGAGGTGGAGGCTGCAATGAGCCAAGATCACACCACTGCACTCCAGCCTGGGTGACAGAGTGAGAGTCTATCTCAAAAAATAATAAAAACAAAATAAAATTTATTTTTGAAGTTGAATTTTAAAACCTTGTTATACTTTTTAAAAGAAAAGATATTATCCAGGGCACAGTACAGACAAACAAAAGAATGGAAAATATGAGTGATTAGGATATAAGACATATGAAGGATAGAGTGAGATGACCTATCACATGTCAGTTACTAATCAGCAGAGTCCCAAAAGGAGCGATGAGAGAGAATACAGCAAAAGCAGTATGTGAATATTTGAAAAGACAATGATAAAAGACACCAGCCTACCAATTTAGGAATCTCAACAATTATCAAGCTGGGCAAATAAGAAGAAATCATGTCAGAGTGAAAATACAGAACACCAAAACCAGAAAGGGCAGGTTACCTTCAAGGGAGAAAAACAAACTTACAGATCATTTATCAGCGGTTAAAAAAAAAAAAGGCAAACAGTGGCAGGATGCCTTTCATGTGCATTACAAACTGTGTCAACTTAGAAGTGTGTATCCTGCAAAAGGCACCTGTCGGGAAAAGGGATAAAATAAAGACTCCAACAACTGAGAATCTGACATCAAAAGATGTTTATCAAAGATCTAAAGGATTATTTCAGGCAGAAGAAAACTGATTCAGGCTGCAAGAAACTGGTAAATATTCTGGTTGATCTAAACAAACATTGTATAAAACAATACTTTTTTTTCTCTTTTTTTTCCCCGGGCGTATCATGTCAGATTATATAGTTAGTAACACACCACAGGTTGCACAATAGATCTCTAGTTTAAATTATTGTCTTTTTAGTTGTTGTTTGGGGGGGGTTTGCTGATACAGTACCTTTGCGAAAACTACTGGGCACTGAGTCAGAGGGCTAACAATGTGTTTTCAAGGTTCTCCGCTCGCCACCCTCTCCCTGTGGAAGGAAGCCTTGACAGAGGCACCTGACAAAGAGCTTGAATAGAAGACCTGGGAATGAAGGCGCCACGGCTGGGAATGCAGGTGTGTGTAAGACCTTGACAGGTCAGGGGTCTGAGACCTTGACCTCAGCTCCCTCCAGGGCCTGCAGTGCCCCGGCTGTGCCAAGTCAGGTATGGGTAGGGAGTCCCCTCGTTAGAACTGCCAGGTACAACCTTGGGTGGCCCACAGCCGGGCCTGGAAATGACATGATGGATTTTAACCAGGAGCCGGACTTTTCAGCTTCCTGTCCACAGACCCCACCCAGTGATAGACAATCATAGTAAATATCACCCACCTGAAATAACCCACCCTTGACTTGCTTGCCTCACTCCAGGTACTGTCACATTTCTCTGGCAAATCACTAAGAGAGTAGATTTTAAGTGTTTTTGAACACAAAAGATGATAAGTATGTGAGTTAATGCATATGCTAATTAGCTGAATTTACCCATTCTACAATGTATACATATTTCAAAGCATTGTGTTGTACACGATAAATAAATATAACTTTTATTTGTCAATGATAAACAATTTTTTTAAATTTAAACAATGAGTTTTAAAACCAGCTAAAACATAGGTGAGGGCAAATTAAAGTACTTTAAAGTTCTTGTGTTTGGGAAAAGGATAAACACACTGATTAATCTGAGACATGGAGAGGTTTAAGTACGTTAAAATTTCCAGAGTAATCTTCTTACTAAAGAAATTTTTCAGGCTGATGCAGTGGCTCACGTCTGTAATCCCAGCACTTTGGGAGGCCAAGGCTAGGTGGATCATGAGGTCAGGAGTTCAAGACCAGCCTGGCCAATATGGTGAAACCCCGTCTTTACTGAAAATACAAAAATTAACTGGGCTGGTGGCACATGCCTGTAGTCCCAGCTGCTTGGGAGGCTGAGACAGGAGAATCGCTTGAACCTGGGAGGCGGAGATTGCAGTGAAGTGAGCCGAGATCGCACCACTGCACACTCCAGCCTGTGTGACAGAGTGAGACAACATCTCCAAAAAAAAAAAAGTTTTTCTCAATGGGGAGGGAGGAGGAGGGTAAGTTTTATTCCCCAGGGGACATTCAGCAATGTCTGAAAACAGACAGCTGATAATGGGTCTTTGTCTCAGAAAAAGAAAACTGTTTGGGAATCTCACTTTCATTTTGCTACTTAACCTTAGAAGCGGTCTTTTTTCAGTATCTTTCTTTCTGATAGGGCACATTTCCACCGCAGTCTGAAAGGCAAGGTGTTAGAGGGGCGCATCTGCAGGAGGGGACACTGCCCGTGCTGAGCAGCGGCTCCCAAACAGCCAAGAACTGCTGAGTACCATGTTCAGGTGTGCAGAGTCCAGACGAGCTGATACATGAGATGGGCTGAGCCCATGTCCCTCGTCAGTCTTTGCGGGGCCCACTTGAAAAGACAGAGAGAACAGTGGGGCTGATGGCATTCACAAAGCACCACAAGGATGCTGGCGAGGACACTGGGGAATCATCACCTGCCTGGCTCCTTTTTTTTGTTTTTTTAGACTCAGTCTCATTCTTGTCTGAGCTCCTATATCACTGGCTGCAATGGCTGGAGTGCAATGGCTGGAGTTTCATTCTTCTTATTACCCAGGCTGGAGTGCAATGGGGCAATCTCGGCTGGCTGCAATCTCTGCCTCCCTGGTTCAAGCGATTCTCCTGCCTCAGCCTCCTAGTAGCTGGGATTACAGGTGCACGCCACCACACCAGGCTAATTTTTGTGTTTTTAGTAGAGACAGGGTTTCACCATGTTGGCCAGGCTGGTCTCGAACTCCTGACCTCAGGTGATCTGCCCGCTTTGGCCCCCCAAAGTGCTGGGATTACAGGCATTAGCCACCATGCCCAACCCTGGTTCCTTTTTGTTTGCGTTTCCTCAAATAGGCACTCAGAGGCCTTTTCTCCCCAGGAGAGTCTCTCTTTCCATATCACAGAACTATGTGAGGTCTAGGGAATTAAGACAACAGTCGTCTTCTTAAATGTACTTGATTTTTTTTTTCTTTTTAGGTAAGTCATATTGTGGACAAAGGTATCAGGTACAAAGTGCTTACTATGTGCCAGACCTTGTGATAAATACATATCATTTCTCACTTAGTCTTCGTGGTTGAACCTTCCGCGGGAACATCTGAAACCACATAACAAAAGCCTGAGACAACCGTGGGAGCTGTGCTCAGAGCTCATCCCGGACGTGTGGCCTATACCCCTTCATGATAGTTTGCTAATAAGCAAACTCATGCTCAGGGTGGATTCCGAGTCTCGTGTTTTGGGAGGATGTGGGCAACACATTCACGCTGCCAAAGTTGCAGACTTTGCAGCCAGTGATATAGGAGCTAAAAAAGAAAATACTGAAGCAGTTAATAAGGGTAAAAGAGTTCTTGGTGGAATTTCCTTTTAATAAAAAAGCACCCCCCAAAGTATTTCTTTTCTTAAAAAAAGCAGCCTGAAAAATCGAGCTGCAAGCATAGATAAGCAAGCTGGAAGCTTAGGTGAATGCGGCAGCCGTGCCAATAGAAAAGGGCTACCTGGAAGCCAGATACATCCAATGTGGAGGTTCCCTCCCCCTTCTCTTTGTTGCCATGTGTGCAGGTGTCGCCCCGCTGGCCTGTGTAATAAAAGATTAGGGTGGGATGGCCAGCCTCTGTTGGCTATAAATGGCACAGCTGCCCCAACCAATCCACTATGCCCTAAGTAAATTAAACACTGCCTCTTTAAGCTCCTCTATAAAACCAACCGTATCTTGCCCCAAATCCGGAAACCCACTTGGACCCCCTCCCTCTGCATAAGGAAGCTCTCTATTCTATCTTTTGCCTATTAAACTTCCGCTCTTCAACCCAGTTTTTGTGTGTCCATGTCTTCAATTTCCTGTGTCCGTGTCTTCAGTTTCCTTAGCACAAGACAATAAACCCCCAAACAACACTACTTCACCAGCAAGTGACAAAGGGAAGAACTCCACCTGTGAGAAAATGTCCACGAATTCTAGGACCAGAAGGGGTTTCAGCAGAGCATCTTGTGGGCCACCGTTCAGACATTCTAGTAGAAAACATAATGTCCAGTTAGTTTGAAAGGCCCCCTGAGGGATAGACCCTGTAAGCCATCCTCACCCCCTTCCACCCTTCCTCCTCCCTCTTTCTGGCTGCCTCGCCCACCCCCGCCCTGTTGAAAACATCTCACTTCCTCCTGGGGCTCCTGTCCCTCCCCTAACACACCTCCCACCCCCACCCCCGACTGGTTTCGCCTCCAGGGCACCTTTGTTCCTTCCTTTCACTACTGTGGGTCTTGGCCTTAGCTGCACACTGTGGCCACCAGGGAGCTTTAGAAATATGATGACCAAGCTGCACCGTGACCAGTGAATTTCAGCTCTCTAGGGAGGGATTCTTGCATTAGCATTTTGTTGATGGTGGTCGTAGTGGTTTTCTTGTTTTTGTTTTGTTTTTTGAGATGGAGTCTGGCTCTGTCATCCAGGCTGGAGTGCAGTGGTCCAATCTCAGCTCACTGCAACCTCCACTTCCCAGGTTCAAGTGATTCTCCTGCCTCAGCCTCCTGAGTAGCTGAGATTACAGGCAGTCACCACCATGCCCAGGTAATTTTTGTATTTTTAATAGAGACAGGGTTTCACCATGTTGGTCAGGGTGGTCTTGAACCCCTGACCTCAGGTGACCTGTCCACCTCAGCCTCCCAAAGTACTGGGATTAGAGGTGGGAGCCCCTGTGCCCGGCCTGCATCAGCATTTTTCAAAGCTCCTCGGTGACTCCAGTGTACAGTCAAGGTGGAGAACCGCTGCTGTAGCAGAGCAGGTGTGACAGATTGAAAGAACCTGCTTACCTGCACTTCTGTGTGACCTCCTGTTCTCCAGCTTCTAAATGGGTCACCGCCTTTCAATACCCAACTCACTGACTCCACTCATTACCTTGAGCTTCCACAGGAAGATTTCTTTCCCGAGGGGTTGCGAGTGTCTCTGGGAAACATGCCCCACTAATGCATCATTCCCATGCGGCTTCAGGCTTCTCCGCTGCTCACCACTGACCACCTGGGAAACAATTCTCTAAGCTGTCACCCCTTTGTCTGTGCCAGCATCTGACAAAGTGCCTAACAGATAATCCTAAATAGCTGGTATGAAGAAATACCTGTTGAATTAATGGATAATAAAAAATGGTGGCTGGGCACAGTGGCTCACACCTCCAGTTCCAGCACTTTGGGAGGCTGAGATGGGAGGATCACCTGAGGTCAGAAGTTCAAGACCAGCCTGATGAACACCGTGAAACCTCATCTCTACTAAAAATACAAAAATTAGCTGGGCATGGTGGCAGGTGCCTGTAATCCCACCTACTCAGGAGGCTGAGGCAGGAAAATCACTTGAATCAAGGAAGCAGAGGTTGCAGTGAGCCAGGATCAGCCACCGCACTCCAGCCTGTGTGACAAGAGCAAAACTCCATCTCAAAAAAAAGATAAACAGAAGCCTTCTTAAATACATGACAATTATACATGCAGACTAAACACAGAGCTGTAAGTTAACAAAACACCGTAAAACATATGTAAGTGAAAAACAAAAATAGGAAAAATATGCAAGGTAAAAGAAAATCGGTTATTTTCTGTACATGATATTCAGATGCTACAGGCTGAATGTTCACACCCTCCCAAAATTTGTGTGTAGAAATCTAATCCCTGATGTATTAAGAGGTAAGATGTTGGCCGGATGCTGTGGTTTATGCCTATAATCCCAGCACTTTGAGAGGCCAAGGCACACAGATCACAAGTTCAAGAGATCGAGACCATCCTGGCCAAATAGTGAAACCTCGTCTCTACTAAAAATACAATAATTAGCTGGGCAAGGTGGCATGCCCCTGCAGTCCCAGCAACTCGGGAGGTTGAGGCAGGAGAATCGCTTGAACCCAGGAGGCAACGGTTGCAGTGAGCCATCTCAAAAAAAAAAAAAAAAGAAGTGAGATCTTTAGGAGGTGATGAATGGGATTAATAACCTCATAAAAGAGGAGCAGCTCATCTCTTCCACCACGTGAGGGCACATAGAAGCCACCACCTATGAGGACAGGCCCTCAGCAGACACTGAATCTGCTGGCACCATTCTCAGAGGTGTTTGAACCACAGAGACTCCATCCTGAACAGGGGCTGGGTGAAGTAAGGCTGAAACCTACGAGGCTGCATTCCCTGACCAATCCCTTTTGTTTTAAACCATCCAGCTTGTATTAATCTGTTACAGCAGCCACAGGAAACAATCCAGCATGGAAACGCTCCATTATTTTATCCTGACCAGTTCTAATGTCTTCTTAGTGCTGGGAAAGAAGACAGGCAGAGGGTCATTCGAGTTTATTTTATGGGAACTTAGTATCTTACTCTCCACAGCAAGGAACTTATCTGAGAATGACTGTGCACGTGTTGTATCGGACCAAGCACAGAAAGTCAACACCAAGACAAAAGTATGCCAAATTGCACGGTTTATTGCCGGCGACCACGGAGGACTCACGTCTCTCCAACCCGTGGCAGAGAAAGAAGGGTGACAAGACCTTTTTATACCCGCAAAACCACCTTGGGAGTGGGGGTGAGGAGTGGAGATGGGAATGAAAGCTGTCAATCACCTCCTAGGCCGAGACGAGGGTGAGGGGGCTCCGGACATTCCAAGGGCCAGGGGACTTTTGTCATTCCGATTGCCACTTAAGTGGTTTACAGAAGTCAAGATAAACATTAGTTTATACATTATTTGGGCATGTGTGGGGTCCACAGATTTTTCAGTTGCCTGGCGCCAGGATGGAATTATCTGGGGGTGCTTACTCTGGTCAGTACCAGTAAACAGAGGCCAGCAATTCTGGCAGTTACAGATAAGAGAAGGTGTGCAGCTTTACCTCTCTGCATTCTGCAAAGTAAATTAGCAGTTTACAGAGGCCATGGCTAGCAGTCATTATGAGGAGAATGGAAACAGTTTTGTCTCTTTATAGAATGGCAGTGTACAGGTTCTAACTCTAGGCCAGCTATATCACACACGCTGCCTCACTGTCTCATTTCCTGAACTCTCTAGTTCAGAAAATGCTGGTGCAAATCAACTTCCTTAAAAAACAAAAGGAAAGTAAAAAACAAAATCTACTTTACAGACTAGAGACTCAGAGACTCAATGTGATTTTCTCCCCGAGTCAGGTCCATGGTTCTGACTGCCGACAGCCTCACCACTCCTGTTTGAATCAAGCAGACACTAAACAATGCCTTTGTTTCCATGCCCATCAGAACTTTTAACTAAACAGCCGCTGACTATTGGGCTGGCACTTTATGAGGTCAAATTTATTGATGTTGGATTCTAAAAATATACATATACCCAGAAGGTGAAAGCTGTGACAGTAATATCTCTGAGCAGGAGGAATCGTGGCAAGGACAGACTTTAAATTGGGTTGAACAATTCCATAAAAACAGGAAACATGCAGCAGCTGCAGCTCCCCTCCTATTGGCCTCTGCCTGGGGCCGACCTGCTAATGGGCTGCCCCTGAGGAATGCACTGCACGTCTGCGCGTGGAGCTGACGGTGTGGGAGTGACAGCCAACCCTCACTCACTGCTCCTATGTGCAGGTCTTGTTCTAAGTACTTTTACATTTTATTTAATTCCCACAGCAATCCGGTTAAGCAGATACTATCATCTGCCTCATTTTTTAGATAAACTAAGGCACAGTCAGTCACTTACCTAAGATCACACATGTAAGAAGTGACAGAGCCAGGATTTGAACCCAAGTGGTCTGGCCCCGGAATCTATCATCTATCAGCCCGACCATGATCCCCACCTCCTGGTAGTCACACCCTTGAGTAATCCCTTCCTCTTGAGTGTGGACAGTGCCAATGACCTGCTTCTACCAATGGAATGGGACACAGGTGACAGGATGCTGCTGCCTTAGGTTCCATAGAATCATAATTCTCATCTTGCTAGCAGACTGTCTCTGCTGCCTTCTTGAACAGCACACGCGCATGAACCAAGTGGCCATATTGGAGAGGTCACGTGGCAAGGACCTGAGGGTGCCTCCACCCAGCAAGAGCAGGGGTGAAGCACTGTTCTAAAACAAGAGGCTGGAGCTCAAGGTGGACTTTCAGTGATTCCCTGCTCCTCATCCAGGGAGCTGCCAATCAGGCATAAGTCACACCCCCTCTGCATAGGAGACTTCTTTTGTTTCTAGGGAAACGGAAGCTGGGGGTTCGTCAATGACTGCTCCATGCAAGAGTACCAAAGCTGGGCCCCCTTGCATTAACTTCAGGCAACTCTGAGGCATCATCCATCTCCAATTTCTCCCTCTGCCCAATCCTACTTTCCTCACTCCTTACAAGTGCTGTCCCCAAGAGCATTTCCAGATAAATTTCCCACATGCGGATCTTCCTTCCAGAGTGTGTTTCCAGGGAACCTAGCTGAACCTAGAGACCTAGAAAGCTGCCCTGTTTCGGCGGAGTGATGACAATAACGTCTAGACTTCAGGGTGTTGCGGAGCGAACGGGAAGATGTGGAGAAGCTGAGACAGCAGGTGTAGCCAACTCCTTTGAGAAAGACGACTTTTGGGCTCAGAGAAACATGACAGTGCCTGGAAGGGGGCAAGAAGAAAGTCAAGGGGGGATACTTCAGGTGGGTGATGTTACCCCACCGTCATGTGCTGTTGCCTGATGCCTGTAGAGAGGAAACTGAGGAGTCCGGCTCCTGTTAGAATCCCAGGTGTGGTTTATCAGGACGGACCCTGGGCAACTACAAGGCTGTACCAGGCAGGCCTCACAGGGAGGTTCCCTCCCCAGACCAGACCTGACATACCCGAGGCACTGCAGTCCCTGGAGGGAGCTGCACCCAAGGACTCAGGCCCGTGCCGGCCATGTGCTTGCACACACCTGTGCTCCCAGCCCTGCACCTTCATGCTCAGGTCTCTCGGCCCAAAGCCTTCTTCAGACACCTCCGCCAAGGCCTCCTTCTTCTCTGGGAGGAGAGAGGGAGAACCACGAAGACATTGTTATCCACTTTGACTCAGTTCTTTTCCACTCCTGGTCCTCTCCTCTCTCCCTTCCTGGGTCCATAAAACTGCAGAAGCCTCAAAAGAGAGATGACCTTCATCCCCACATCTACACCACCAGCTACTCCACTCTTGACTGGAGCTCTGTTTCGGGGTCGGGGGCAGGGAGGAATCCTCTTGCTTCTGCCCCTGCCGTGAGTGATGAGGGCTTCACTGCTACTTTCTCTTTTTTTGAGACGGATCTTACTCTGTTGCCCAGGCTGGAGTGCAGTGGCACAATCTAAGCTCACTTCAACCTCCACGTCTTGGGTTCAAGCGATTCTCCTGCCTCAGCCTCCCAAGTAGCTGGGACTGTAGTTGGCACACCACCACGCCTGGCTAATTTTTGTATTTTTAGGAGAGATGGGGTTTCACCACGTTGGCCAGGCTTGTATTGGACTCCTGACCTCAAGTGATCAACCCACCTCGGCCTCCCAAAGTGCTGGGATGACAGACATTACTGTGACTTTCATTTTTGCTTATTACGTCAATTAGCCACTCTCTCCAGCTCAGCTGAGCCCTTGACAGACACGTTGCTCACACCCATGAGAGAAGGCTTGATGTCCCTAGGAAGCAGACAAGAGAGGTGACTGGACCTACAGCAACTGCTCTGGCCTTTGGCAAGAGGAGGGATACCCCCGAGGTTGTCACTGGAGAGAACACAGGTCAGAGACAGGCAGGTGATCCGAGTGAGGGGGCGGGGCTTAAGGAAGGCCGATGGCGCCTGTGTTCCTGGCAAAGTATCAACAAAGAGAGGGAAGAGAGGGGCTTGGAAGGAAACCAGTGCGGTGGAGCAGCTCCCTATAGGAATGAGAAAGTGAGCCCACCTGACAAGGCAGAGGGCTGATGGGGCAGTGCCAGAGCCTGCTGGAAAACCAGTGACAGAAGAGCTCCAAGGTGCCCAGCTCAGTGACCAGCCAGCAGCAGGGTCTGCACAATGGCTGGCTTCTCCTTCCCAGCACGATGTGCATTTCTGCTACGCCAGGGACGGCACAGTGCTGTTGGCCAGGAAGGGGGCTGGATGAAGAGCCCTCCCAGGGGGAATGTTGGCATTGTTTACTCTGTTTCCGGTTTCCACAGCCAGCTAGAGGAAAAAAGGACCCAAAAGTGATTGATACAAGCCCAGCAGAAGAGCCAAAGCCTGAAGGCAAGAAATTCAAACACCAAGTCAGCCAGCCAAGTACAAGCCATGCTGACATGGCCTGCTGATCCAGCCAACATCCACTCAGAGATTACACACCGTAGCTCAAGGTGCAATCGTGCTTTCTTTTTCTTCTGGTTCTTTCTTCAGCACCAGCGATACTGTTTTCCTGAAAGCTTACAGGGATTCCAAATGGGCTGCCCTGAAAGGCCCCCTACCTTTGACAGTGTGCAGTCTCCTGGGGACTTTGTGGGTCCCCTGGCTCCCAAGTACACACAGAGCCAGATCTAGAGTAGCAGAGGCCTAGCATTGCAGGTCTGAATGGTCAGGAAGTAATCCAGTTGCGGTTTCGGTTAACTGAATTGATCAGCACTTTCGTGATCAGTTAAACCAAGCCAGGTACTTCTTCAAACAAGCAGATACAAAATGGCTTATATTGGTGGCATCACAAACACCTACGTAATTAGTCAGTGTCTTGCCTCAGGCTCCATCAAATTAGACATTCAGACGGCATTATCTTCCTAAAGATCATAAGACTAAGGACAGACAAAAAAGCAAAACTGACTGTTTAGAGCCAGTAGCCTCACAGTTCCTTACATAATGAGCAAAGCCTGTCCAAAAAAGATAAAGAGCACCGTCTACGAGGATAAGGTCTCCTGGGAGGCAGTACCTTTACCTGCAAACTGTATTTGTCTGCCTTGTTCTTTGGTTTCTCAGCTCCTTTGCATGTGGAGCCATTTTGCATATAGGGCTCTCTCACGGAGCAGCCTGGGATGTGCCAGAGACACGTGCCTCAGAGCCTGTGCAGATAGATGCTCTTCTGTAAGCATAGAACATCTTCTGTCATCCAGCCCTCTCCTCGTGTCATCGAGTCCAGTGTTTCCGCCTTAGAGAGGTTCTCTCCCTCACTGTCTCTAGTACCTCTTTCTTTTTCTTCATAACATGTAGCATTACTTGACATCATATTATTTCAATTCAATTCAACAAATATTTTTTGTTCACACATTTATCCTTGTCCACACTACAGTGAGGCTCCAGGAGAGCAGATGCGTTGTATATTTCATTCACTGCTGGCTCCCCAGCCCTTAGAACGGTGCTTGGTGCTTAATAGGTAGCTCAAGATCTATCTGTTGAATGTGTGGATGTATGAATGAATGAATGCTCGGGACCTTTCAGTGAATTTGTGGCTGACTCAGGCCCAGAGTTCAGGTCTTTCACTGAGAGCTGCATTGTATTCCAGGACTTCCCATCTCTCAGATTCCCAGAAATGATGGATATATACGTGCTATGCCCTCTCAGATGCTGTCTTCCTTTTCCTTTCTTCACAGCTCTCTGGCACCAATTTTTCCACTTCTCAGAAACACTTTGGCGCACAAATTCCCAAAGCAACCTTGCTCTTCATTCTGGAAAATATGATGCCAACACCTCAGAATAAAGGACAGACAGGAGCTTTTGCTTCAAAGGGAATCAATCACTTCATGCATGTTAAATTGCCTGAAAGACTCTAAACTTCACAACTTTTGATCATAACTCCACTATATTTGCATACATTCATTGTTATATCTGAAAAGCATAGGATAGTTGTTTTTTAAAATTAAATGAAGTAAGTTCATATGTTATCGCTAGGTGTAAGAACTGCTAATGTGGACAACTGCTGATAAGGACCTCTATAGAAGTAGAAAATTCTAAGTGTCCTACTATCACCAATAAGAAATTTTAACAGTCCAGTGGATACAATACAATCACATGGAAAACTGTATACAGTATGTTGTATGAGAAGATCCCACAGAAGGAACAGAGCCTGTAAGATACATCATCATCTAAACTACAGGTGAGAAGAACATCAAGATTCTTTAAAGCAATGGCTCTCAACGTGTGTTTCCTAGACCAGCAGCGTCAGCACTACATGGAAACCTAGAAATGCAAACTCTCCAGCCCCGCCTCAGACCTGCCGGATCGGCAACTGCGAGAAGTCCGTATTTTCATCTATGTTATAACAGGTCCTTAGGTGACTCCATGAACACTACAGCTGGCAAACCATTGCCTTTAACAGTGCACAAGCTGTTATTTGAGTACAAAATTGCAGTTTTCTGCGTTGTCGTGACTCTATTTTTGCAGGAGTAGAAAGGTACCCCATGGCAGTAGAGATAAGTGGATCTGAAACCCCGACAGCAGCTCAAGAGGTTCTTTATGACAGCTGGAACCTGAACTCCAGTTGCCCTCGGAGGCTTGTGGTTTAACCGTCCCAGAGACAAATCTGCCACTTCCGGCTTGCATCCAGCAAAAGTGCAGGTGTTCGTCATCAGGAGATGTCGGCTGATGTATGCACACATTTAAGACAGATTCGAAGGGTCATGGACAGATCACCAATAAGACCAACATGCAAGACCAGTGGACAGTGTGTGGTCCGGGTCCTAGGACTGACAACTGGGGCCTCAGCACCTGCTTGGGATGGTGTTTTATTTTGACTTTTTTCTGAAACAGCAGAGAAACTGCCCAAATGATCAAAATGAGGTAAGAATGTGTTTACATTTGTCTCACTTGCTCTCCACTGCCTCCCTGTGACCAATACTCACAGTTCTATGGTCTCAGCAGTTGCACTGAGAGGTCAAAAGAACCTGCTGTTGTGTGTTCATAATCTTGTATTACCTCTAACAAACAATTTATACTACTAAACGGGACATCAGCTACGATGCTCAAGATTTTAAGTGCTTTTTAAACTAAAAACAAACAAAAAAATTGTGACCTGAATATAATGTAAATGGTTTATCTTCAAGTCAAAAGCCACAGGTTTACCTCTGCAGCTTTACTCTTTCCTAAAAATTGCTTTTGTATATTGCTTATGCATGCTTTCTGCATCCCATAAAGTATATAGACAATAACAGTTTACTCTAAGTCCTCCAGATGAGTTACTACCTCTACTATATGTTTCATTCTCATTGCATGTTTAATGCTTATTAATATCTGTGTTTTGTAGTGGACTTCATGAGGACAGATAATATTACCAACTGAATTGTGTACCTCAAAATTCACATGTTGAAACCCTAATCCCCAAGGTGACTGTATTTGAAGTTGGGCCTACAACAGGTAGGTTAAATGAGGTCATAAGGGTGGGGCCCTGAATCGATAAGGTTAGTGTCCTTTTAAGAAGAAACACCAGAGAGCTTGTTCTCTCCACAGTATGAGGACACAGTGAGAATGTAACCATCTGTGCACAGGAAGAGAGGCCTCACCAGGAACCAAATGAGCCAGAACCATTTTGGACTTCTCAGCTGCCAGAACTGTGAGAAATAGTCTGTGGTATTTTGTTATGGCGGCCCATGCAGACGAATACAGATACCATGTCTATGTTGTTCATTGTCCTATCTTCTGTGTCTAGCATGTTACAGTCTCTCAAATATATGTTTAGTAAGATGCATACTAGTTAAAAGGCATTGATTTTTGGCTTAAGTAAATAACTGTTGTATTGTGTTATATTTCCAGGATTTTTTCTATTTTTCATAAACTCTGTGAAAAATTTCACTTAGAAAAAACTAATACTGTCATTGGCATTACAAGAGGTGCTCTACAGGATTTGTGTGACCCACAGTAGCCCTGCCAAAAATGCCTGTCATCCACTTATGGACAGACTTAGCTTAAAATTCTTCTAGAGCTAGCAATGGGATATCTCCCTTTATTTTCTCTGTGGTACAGAGACAGTTTTCCATTAATTTTCTCATAAGGGCTTTCCATGAACATGGTAAATAAAAAAAGAGAGAAAGCAACAAGTCAGAGCACTCTAAGTAGGTAGGTTTCATGGGAGCAAAGAGGTGAACAGGAGAGCAGAAATGTGAACAGACCAGATGTCTTGGAGGCTTGAGAACAGTAACCATGGTGTGAGAACAATATTAAGACTTTTATTTTTATTTTCCAAATAGTTTTTAAAAGGCTTTAAGCCAGGTACAGTGGCTCATGCCTATAATCCCAGCACTTTGGGAGGCTGAAGCGGGTGGATCACTTGAGGTCAGGTGTTTGTGACCAGCCCGGCCAGCATGGTGAAATCCTGTCACTACTAAAAATACAAAAATCAGCTGGGCATGGTGGTATGCACCTGTGATCCTAGGCACTCAGGAGGCTGAGGCACGAGAACTGCTTGAACCCAGGAGGCAGAGGTTGCAGTGATTGAGATTGTGCCACTGCACTCCAGCTTGGGTGACAGAGTGAGACTCCTTCTCAAAAACAAAAACAAAACAAACAAAGAGGCTGAGGTGAGAGGATTCCTTGAGCCCAGAATTTCAAGGCTGCATGTGCTATGATCACACCACTGCACTCCAGCCTGGGCAACAGAGCAAGACCCCATCTCAGAAAAAGCCTTTATCCCTTTTTAAATGTCTATAAAAGGCATCCTTTTCAAATGTTTATTTTATATGTGATTTACAACGTGCATAAAAATAGTGCAGTAATATGTGTATTTAACCTATAGATAAGTAATGATACATCTACTGGGAATGCAGGATGAATGTTGTTGTTTTCCAATTGGAAACATATAATAAAAAAATATCTAAAGGCTGTTGCTCTTGACTCAGAGATGGCAGGAAGGTGGAAACAAAATGTAGAGGTCCAAACACTAATGGGTTAACTAAAAGTCAACAGAATAGCAGTGGCAAAAAGCTTCCCACACTCCTCTGCTGCCTGCCTCTCTCCTTCCTGAGCCAGTCAGGCATTTGTCCAAATCACCCTTAGGCAAAAAATTATAGATTTGTTCTTCTTAATTGAATTAACCACCCTGGCAATATCATTGCACTCTTCAGTAAGCCAAAGTAAAGATTGCACAACTCTGGCAGTTGCTGTCCAGAGCCTTACAATGTCTCACTCCACACTTACCTACCTATGCTACAGGGATGCTTTCAGACATAAGTTTTGCCTCAAAAACATAGGCCTTCATTTTCTTGGTAAGGCTCCGTTAATATTAGCTACCTTAAAAAAAAAAAAAATCAACCTGCTGTCTCCTTTTTTTTGAGACAGAGTCTCATTCTGTCACCCAGGCTGGAGTGCAATGGTGTGATCTCGGCTCACTGCAACCTCTGCCTCCCAGGTTCAAGCAACTCTCCTGCCTCAGCCTCCCAAGTAGCTGGGACTACAGGTGCCCTCACCACACCCAGCTAATTTTTGTACTTTTAATTGAGACGGGATTTCACTATATTGGCCAGGTTTTTCTGGAACGCCTGATATTGTGATTCACCCCCGTCAGCCTCCCAAAGTGCTGGGATTACAGGTGTGAGCCACCGCACCTGGCCGTCTTCTTTTAAATATAAAGAAAATACTCAAAGATTGCCAGACAATAAGAAAAATAAAAGAAAAATACGAACAGACAAATTGACTCTTAAAGAATAGAATAGGCCAGGTGCGGTGGCTCATGCCTGTAATCCCAGCACCTTGAGAGGCTGAGGTGGGAAGATCACCTGAGGTCAGGAGTTCAACACCAGTCTGGCCAATATGGCAAAACCCCGTCTCCACTAAAAATACAAAAATTAGCTGGGCATGGTGGCAGGTGCCTATAACCCCAGCTACACGGGAGGCTGAGGCAGGAGAATCGCTTAAACCGGGAGGCAGAGGTTGCAGTTAGTCGAGATTGTAGCACTGCACTCCAGCCTGGGGCACAAGAACGAGACTTCAACTCAAAAAAAAAAAAGAAAGAAAGAAATAGAATACTGGAACAGAAGAGAATGTCGCAGAAACCTAAACTCTAAAAGATCCCACATTAGTGCATCCATAAAACAAGAACAAGATGCTGTATTTTAAAAATCAGAATAAAGAAATGCTTTTGAAAATTAAACACATTATTACAGAAATAAAAATGTCATTAGAAATCAAGTAAATCTTCTAGAACCAAGGACGAATAAAGAGTTAAAAACCAGAGGGAACATATTAGGAGACCTCAAGGGTACTTCCAATCCAGGAAGTACAATTTTCTACTAATAGGAGTTTAAGAAAGAACAAATAGAAATAGAAGGGAGGAAGTATTTCAAACATGGTGCAAGGATGACACTTCTGCTTCTGGCCATGATGGAGCAGATTTACTCTTTTGCCTTAAACTATAAATAACCAACACAGCACAAAATATTTAAAATACATATTTTTAGATATTAGACAATAATAGACTCAGGACAGTGATCCCTGAGAGAAGAGAAACAACTGAGGTGGGCTTTACAATTGCCCAAGCTGACTTACTGGAGAGAACTTCCAGGCCTCAGCATAGAGAGAAGGACTCCATATCCCTGTGGGTTGAGGAAATGCAGGTAGGATTCCAAGGAGGCCAGGGCTTCTAGATTTCACAGGGTAGAGAACCAGAGAAAAGAGAGCTGCACACACAGAAAAAGCTCCGGAGAGCTGCAAAGAGTCCTAGGCTAATTATGGATCAGACAATGTGTAGTAAAGAAGCTTGAGGCCAGGGAAAGAACCACCCAAAAGAGCAAAGGGATCAATCCCATTGTTCATGCTGGGCTGAAAATGTTTCCAACCAGCATGGAAAATTTCATAATTAATGAAGCATCAGGTAGCATACTCAGGGGGGAGTTACTTCAATAGTGGGGCAAATGTAGCCTTACACCAAACACTTCTCTGGTCCCCTCTGACAAAAGCAAGCCTCAAACATACCAAGCCATTTCCAAGTAGCTTAACTGGATCCCAGAATAAAACTTGAGTAATATTTATAGGAATAAAGAACTATCCAGCACCCAACAATGTAAAATTGATGTCTGGCATCTGATAAAAAATTACTACGCATGCAAAAAGGTAGGAAAATACAATCTATAACAAATGAGAGCATTAAAAAAATTAAACAAATTAGATTCAACACAGTTTAATTTAGCAAAGAACAATTCATAAATTGGGCAGCCCGTGGAATAAATTCAGAGCAACTTCAGGGTTGCCACATGGTTGATAACATTTTTAAACAGAAAAAGGAAAATCATGTACAGAAAACAGAAGTGAGACACAGAAATAGCTGGATTGGTCACAGCTGTTTGGTTGCCTTAGTTGAAGCTGGCTTGAACACCTGGCCACCTGTGATTGGCCAAAACTCAGCTGCTGTGATTGATTGAGACTCAGCTACTTGTTACAAGAGCAAGTTACAGTCTGTTTACACATCAAGATAGGCTACAGTTCATTATGTACAAAGAAACCTTTAGGCCAAACTTAAAATATGTGAAGAGGTAGCTTTAGGCTAAATTTAATTTAACAAGAAGAAAAGTAAATCAATAGAAACAGTAGATAGAATTAGTAGATTGGGACATTGAAACAGTTATCAAAACTATATTTATATGTTCAAGTAGATGGAGGAAAGCATTAGTATATTAAGGAGAGACATGAAATATGAAATATATTTTTAAAAGACCAAATCCAACTTCTGGACATGAAGAGTACAGTGTCTGAGATGAAAAATATACTGAATTCGGATTAATAGCTGATTAGACACTGTGGAAGAAAAGAGCAGTGAATTTGAAGACATAGTGATGGAAACTATTCAAAATGAAAGACAGGGGAAAAGACAAGAAAAAATTAAAGAATAGCATTGAACACAACTTTAAGGATTCTAATATATGTGTATTTGGAAGGAGAGTAAAGAGAGGATAAGAAAAAAAGAATTGAAAGAATGGCCAATAGTTTTCCAAGCTTGATGAAAACTATAAACCCATTGATCCAAGAAGCTCACCAAGCCCCAGCCACAAAAATAATACAAGAAAATTGTATTCAGCTAGAGACACAAGTCCTCAAATAGAAAGGGTCCACCAAATGGTGTCAAGCAATTAGGTGACCAGGTAATATTTAGGACAATTAGCTGAACCGAAAGTAACAATCAAGCCTTTATTCACTAACTGCAAGCAAGAAGCAAAAAGAGGCAGCAGCATCCCAGTGTTCCCTTTTCCCTTACAGAATGGCTAGGGATACAGATATGCTTATGTGCAGAAGTGGCCCAAGGTGGTGTGGGAGGTGAGAGATCTGAGTCCTTAACTATAAATCCCTCCAGAAAACTGCAGTGCATTGCAGTGCACATGCAAGTCTGGTATGGGGAGGGCAGTTTTTCCCCATGAGACCTGGCAGACAAAGCTTTGTAATTTCTGTAGTCAGGACTGAAAGATCACTCACAAGATTTTGGGATACAGCCAGATTCCACAAATGAGGAGCAGAATCACTGGGGGAATAAAAGCTCCTCCTCCTCTTTCCAATATGCTGATAGATATAAAATCTGGACATCGACCAGGTGCAGTGGCTCATGCCTGTAATCCCAGCACTTTAGGAGGTTGAGGTGGGCGGATCACAAGGTCCGGAGATTGAGACCATCCTGACCAACATGGTGAAACCCCGTCTCTACTAAAACACAAAAAATTAGCCGGGCATACTGGCACATGCCTGTAGTCCCAGCTACTCAGGAGGCTGAGGCAGGGGAATTGCTTGAACTGAGAGGCAGAGGTTACAGTGAGCCGAGATCACACCACTGCACTCCAGCCTCCTGACAGAGCAAGACTCTATTTAAAAAAAAAAGTAAAAATAAAATAAGATCTGGATATCAGGAAAGAAATCTAGGCTGAAGACCAATTTGGGAGCCATGAGCATAAATGACAGTGAACTCGTGGAAGGGGAAGAGACCACTATGGGAGATGGGAAGAGAAGGTGAGCCAGGACAAAGCAGTGAGGGACACCAATATTTAAGTCACGAGCAGTGGGGTGGGCTGCCCTGGAGATTGAGAAGAATGACCAGAGAGACAGATGCAACAGCAAACAAGCTTAATGAGAATAAGAGCATGGGGAATGATACGTACCAAAGGCTATGGAGAAGTCAAGTAAGATCAAGGCTATAAAATGTCTAATAGATCTGAATACTAGAAATGAGCTGATGATCTTGGTGAGAAGAGAGTAAGCAAAATGACTGGGACAGAAAGATAAGCTTAGTGGGCTGAGGAATACATAAGAAGTGAGAAAACAGCCGGGCGAAGTCGTTTACGCCTGTAATCCCAGCACTTTGGGAGGCTAAGGTGGGTGGACCATGAGGTCAAGAGATCGAGACTATCCTGGCCAACATGGTGAAACCCTGTCTCTACTAAAAAAAAAAAAAAAAAAAAAAAAATTAACCAGGCGTGGTGGCAGGCGTCCATATTCCCAGCTACTAAAGAAGCTGAGGCAGATGAATCACTTGAATCTGCAGTGAGCCGAGATCACGCCACTGCACTTTTAGCCTGGGTGAGAGGGCAAGACTCCGTCTCGAAAAAAAAGAAGTGAGAAAACAAAGATAGGTGTGGACAAATGTAGCTAGATTTGGCTGTGGATAATAATAAGAGGAAGGACAGCTTCTGGAGTGAATCCAGCATATACGCCTTTTTTAATTGGGAGATACTTGAGAATGTTTAACTGTTAATGAGAAGCTAAAGAGCGGTAAGAACGTCATTAATAAAGGTAAAAATAATTAATGGAAAGCCATCCCTATGAAGGTGTGGCTTACAGAACCAGAGAAATTTTCATTCGACTGAAAAAGGGATGTCTTCCCAATGACAAGGAAAGACAGAATGGAGGACGGTGCAGGGGAGTTTGCTGTTTTGGTGATGGAGCGCTGAAACCTGATCTGTTGACTGTATTTTCTAAGACATAAGAGTTGGGTAGATGAACACCTGCTGAAAATGAGAAGAGAAATTGTAGGGTAGAGATTGAAGTGAGTGCAGATTTTTAATTTCAGCTCAGTTGAGGTTGTAGACTATGAAGTTTTGATCATTGGGGCTATTTGATCCTTCAGGTTTTCTCCAGAAAAAATAGATCTTCCCCTGAGCCCTTCTGAAGTGGGAAAAACTAACCATGACGGTCAGGAACAAATAGC